TTAGTCAGTTGGAACCAGTTTCAGTTTAGCAAATTTGACAATGCTCCCCCCCGCAGTAAGCTATTCAGAGCCTCACCCTGTCTGGCTGGGTGAAGTTCATTGAACCTCTTCAGGATATTGGACACCATGAGTGCTGCGGCGCCAGAGGAGCAGGGCTGTCTGGGGATGTCGGCCATGTGAGGCCAGTGGCCATGTCGTACACAATGGGCACGCACGGGGTTGCATTCACCTGTCAGACGTTTGGTCGGAGTAAATAAAAGCCGGTTTCTCTTCGTCCGCGGGTCGTTCTCACGCAAGTGCCGACGCTCAAACACATCCGCGAGGCGAAGAATACGCCCTCAACTACCGGGGGATCCATGCAGCTATGTAATAACACTATTAAAGACAAAGCCCAAGCCCTTTGCAGGCACAGTCTGTGATTTGCGGTTTTGAACGCCCCCTCCCTCCCACCAACAGACCGTCCGAATGATGTCATGTTCTAGATGAGGATGCAGACTTTATCTACAGCAGGGGTTCCCAACCTTTTTTGAAGCAAGATCTACTTTTAAAGTTGATAGTGTATCGAGATCTACCAAGCCATATCGAAAGCCGTAGCGTAGCCACAATTTATTTATTTAGGAAGCTGTTTTCTGACACATAGATACAGTTTTAACAATCATAATACATTTATTGAAGTAAATGTGAATGTGCAAAGAATAAGCACAAGTAGGCCTAGGACTGGCCCGTAACAACACAACAGACAAAGAACACAAATAATATAATGCCTAATTCTTTGAACTTTTATAAGAACTGATCCAAGTTGGAAAAGTGGTATTTCTCTACCTTAGTGGGATTTCTGTCACTGAGAGGAGGAAGCTACACCGTAACAAATTGCTGTAAATTCACGGGGGCATTTCTAACGGTATCTTACATTATGTCATAATAACTGTAACATACAGTTAAATTTCCATCCCTTGCTTGTAAATTAACGGCCAATGTCATGAATAAACAGTTAAAGCTGTCAATTTACAATAATAGCAGACTACCGTAATTCAACTGCATGTTACATATATTTTATGAAGTGGTGGAAATACACATACAAGTGGAGTGAATCAAAATCCATCTACAATCTTTTGTAAGTTAATGTATGGAAGCCCATGTCAGCCACTGAAAAATAGGTCCTGTAAGTCATCATAATGAGATAGTATCTCATGAGATACGATGATGACTTTGACTTACAGGACATTACTATACATGCAGCTGTCACTTTTATCCAAAACGCCCATGGTTTGACATCATTTTATGTGGAGTAATTGGGGGTTAGGTGTCTTGCTCAGGGACACTTCAACTTGGCACAGGTAGCAGCCAGGATTCGAACCGCCAACCTTGTGCTGCACAGCACACCCTCCCTATCGCATGCGCAGCCTTCACTGTCGTTTCAGTAGCTGGAATGTAAAGATTATAAATATTTGTATTATACAAAGTGTTCATTGCCTAAAAGTCATTTGAGTGTTGATCGTGACCGACTGCTCTTGAACGTGACGTCAGTCGCGTAATCTCAGTTCATCCAGAACACCTGTGCAGTTCAACATCGGAGGAGTTTCTCATTGCCTCGTCTCTCCAAGTAACATTGGTAAGTGTTATTTTCCTGGCATGATTAACATTCTCCTTCCTTACATCTTGTTGTCTTCCTCAACTTGGTAATTAATATTTAACTAATGACAGTGTTTGTAAATATTTTATTTTGGTTTGTTTTACAGAGGCACTGGATTAAGGACGCAAGCCGTTTGCTGCGGTCAATTAAGTGTTCCACAACGTATTGTTGCAGTTACCTTGTTCCTAATGATTTTATGATTCATTTTTTTATTATTGTATACATGCGGCATATTTTATGTTTGGATCTTGGTTACAAACGTCGAACATTTTTGTCTTAAAGGTCGAATGAGTTTGGTTGTCTTTCTTTAATTTTTGGGGAATTAAATGCAAAAATATACGGTTATAAGTAAACGGTAACATTCTGGTATTTATAACACAAAAACAGTAATCGTATGGTAAGAAACTGTAATCCAATATACGACAACATACCGTAAATTACGGTAGGGCACTGTAAATAAAACACTGTAAATAAGTTACTAGCGTCGACTGCCAGTACACTGCAGTTAATTCACAGTAAAAGTTTACGGTAACATACAGTAATCCATTTTACTGTAACAGTGTAAAAAACATTTACGGTATTATGCTGTAAAATAACGGTAAATTCCTGGCGTCCTTGCCAGTAAAATACCGTTAATTTACGGTGATATTTTTTAGAGTGTAAATCCAACAGCCATTGACTGTGTTCTAGCTGTGCATATTCAGCATGGTTTGAACGTTTCAGAAATTTCGGGCAACAATTCAGAAAACCGTTCCAGAAATTTACCTCTGCTGAGCCACCTAACGTCTGTGTGCAGCAGCAGATCTGTGTGTTTTGCACCTGTCTCCTCCAGCTGCGCACGGAATAACCGCCTCTGCAGACTCCTGGCCCGAACAGAACACGCAATCTTGTTAGCCACATCCATGACGTCTTTTCTATTTAAAATCTTCCCGCACAACCCCTGCTGGTGAATTATACAATGGTAATTCAGGAAATCCGGAAGTGCGAATCCAAGATTCACACTGTTTGCACAATCCAATGAACCCAGCAGTGCGCCCAACCATAGCTGGAGCCCCATCCGTTGTAATGGAGACGAGTTTGAAGAGGGGCCGCACCAGTGGGTTCGTTGCACTGTGCAAAGAAAGTGAATCTTTCCCGGATATCCTGAATTATCATTGTATAATTCACCAGCAAGCATTGTGTGGAAATATTTTAAATATGAAAGAAGTGATGGATATTGCGATGAAGATTGTGTGTTCGGTTCGGGCCAGGTGTCTGCAGAGAAGGCTTTTCCGTGCTCACTTGGAGGAGAATGATGCTGAGCACACAGACCTGCTGCTTCACACGGATGTTAGGTGGTTAAGCAGAGGTACATTTTTGGCCAGATTCACGGAGCTATTGCCTGAAATCAAGGACTTCATGAAGCTTTCAAAACATGTGGATTACCATACAAAACTAGAGGACCACCAGTGGCTTTTAGATTTATCTTTCCTCACTGATCTCACTGAGCTCAATGAATTGAATTTAGAGCTGCATGGTAAGGGTAAAGATGAAGTCAACATGATGAGTTCAGTGAACACGTTTAAAAGCAAGCTACAGCTGATGTCAAGTAGGCTGCAGCGTGGTAACCTGCGCAACTTCTCTCACATGCACGCAGAACTACAACGTCAAGGTAAAGGTGTGACAGAGCTTGACAGTGCACGTTATGAAGAGCATGTTCAGAGCATCTTGTCAGAGTTTGAGAGGCGTTTTACTGACTTTGCATCCATCGAGCCTGTAGCCAGCTATATGTGTTATCCATTTGGTGCAAGTATTGATGTTGGTGACATTGCCGCCAAAGTCAAATCACTTTTCGACTTGGAAAGCTCCGCTCTTGAGGATGAGATTCTGACTTTGCAAAATTACATTACAAAATTACAAAATTACATCTGCTCAACCTGGAGAGCATGTAGTGTTCTGGAAACTACTGGTGGAGGAGAAGTATCCCAATCTCAGAAGAAGTGCCTTGAACCTAACATTTTGGATCAACTTATTTGTGCGAGTCTGCTTTCTTGCACATAAAAATCATCAAGTCCAAGTACAGATCAACAATGACTGATGACCACCTTGCAGCCTGCCTACGCCTTGCAACCAGCTCCTACACTCCTGACTACGAGAAGCTAGCCTCCTCCTCCCAGTGCCAGGTCTCCCACTAAGGTAGAACGTGATTTCCTTTATTCAAACTCCGATATCAACCTGTTTTGTATCTAGTTCATTTTTCTGTTTGGTTCATATTAAGGTCAGTTATGACTATTGCTCATCATGCAGATTGCTGTGTGTGTGCATGTGTGAGTGTGCTTGTGTGAGAGAGAGAGAGCGCGGGTTTGTGCTACAGCGCATTATGCAAACTGGCAACTGTGTGAGGAATTTGTCTGTGTGTGTGTTTGAGAGAGGGAGGGTTTGTGTTGTGATGTCTAGTAGTTGTGTGACAACAAGAAAAAGTGTTGTGAGGTTAGTATGGCAGGCTGGAAACGATGTGTGTGCATTTGCGATGTTGACACTGGACTGGTGATCTCGGGAGGTTGGCTACTTAAAGAGTAGATCTTGGGTCAAAAAAGGTTGGGCACCCCTGCTGTAGAGAGAACAGTCATTGGTCGACCGATCTCAATGTTGCCAGATACACAATAACTATCCTCCAAATACGACCTTTTTGAGCCTTTGGTACGATACGTCACCATTTCCAATCTGGCAACACTGAGCACCTTGCCGCCTCCACTAGTTGCATTGTTTACAGCACATGTCATCTGCAGCCATGCCGAAACGTAAATGTAAGTTTACGGACAAACTAAAAAAAAAAACATGTTTTCGCCTCGGCCGCGATGCTCAGCGTAAGCTGAGTGCATGACATGCAGAGCAGGCGCTTACGTGTCAGTGGCAAATAAAGGTGGCAGCGATTTGGAAGCTCACGAGCACTCTGCAAAACACAAAACTGCAGCAAGAGGAGAGAGCTCATCGAGTAAAGTGACGGATTTTAATATGTGGCTATATAAAGTATTTATTATTTAGAATTTTTTATTTGTTATCATTTTTGCTTCAATATATGGACAAGACACATTAAAGAAGCGCTGGACTAAATGCCACAAAAATATTTGTTTTACACTTTGCAGTTTTGTTAAAGTTCAATAAATAGATGTTCATATAGTCATTTTTGTCATTTCATTTGTGAAATTTGTATCCATTCACATGGTCATGGTGCGGCATGCTATACATCTTTCTGACGTTCAGACCTCATATAAAAAAGATTTTAACATTTAAATCCCGTCTAGTGCTCACTGGGTGAGACCCTTTCCCGTAGTAACAACACTCATACAAAAATGGGAATTATTGGCCCCAATTGTAAGAACCCCTTCAGAGCACGGTCATATGGGCGCTTCTATTGGTCCGACTGACTCACTCAGACGGCGGTCGGGGTCATTTCGGTCCAGCTAACAGTTGTTTCAGGTCAGTCCACCTGCTGTGTGTCGACAATGGCGGGACGTATACTACTTCGAGTCTGTACAGCAGTCCGGATGAGGAGCGACGTGGTAGCGAGGCCGTTACACCGGGCTATGGCCACAGGCAAAGGTAGGAGGCCATGTTTGTTGGACACCACATTGAGCCCGTAGGGAAGGTATCTATCTCGTCACGTCAGCTCGCTCACATTGGTGTTACCATGTAGGGATGAAAATAAAGTTTAATTCTGACACGTAGAATTTATTCGCATTCATTAAATGCCACTTTAAGTGCTGTGCCACCGACGTATCACTATGTTTGACCTTAATGTGACTACTCAAAAAAAAAAAACAGTAATTTGCACTTTTCACTGGGGGAAAGGCCTTTCCTGCCACAGAGCCACCCTTTCTGGCAAGGCCCGGGGGTCCGATGCCAGGGAAAGGCAAGGCCCTCGAGCAGGGAAAGGTCTGCTACTTTACACACAAGTAAACTGAGCTCAACTCTGGCATGAACCCTAACTCCATACAGGATCCCTACAGTATGCTAAAGCCCAAGGAGTACGCGGGCACAAAAGGGGAGCCCCACATTGTGCCATGCATTGGAACCAGGAGACTGGTGGCCTGTCTTTGTTAGTGACGTACATTCACAAAAAACAAAGTCCAGCGTATTCGTATGAATGCAAAGAGTAAATTGCAAACCAGGTGATGCATGATGTACTTCTCTGCAGGTGAGGAAGACAACACAACTGTTGTGTGGTTCACGCCTCCTGCATGGCCATATATTGCAATGTTTGCATATTTTTTTATCATTAAATTGTCAACATGAGCTGAACAGTCTTGATTTAAATCAGTTGTCAGGGTTTTGAATCAGGAAACATACAGTGCATCCGGAAAGTATTCACAGCGCTTCACTTTTTCCACATTCTGTTATGTTACAGCCTTATTCCAAAATGGATTAAATTCAATATTTTCCTCAACATTCTACACACAACAACCCACAATGACAAAGTGAAAACTTTTTTGCAAATCTGTTAAAAATAAAGAACGAAAACATAACTTGTAAAGTATTCACAGCCTTTGCTCAATGCTTTGATGAAGCACCTTTGGCAACAATTACAGCCTCAATTCCTCATGGGGATGATGCCACAATCGTGGCAAACCTATTTCTGGGCAGTTTCTCCCATTCTTCTTTTCTTTTCGTCGGTGCACAGCCATTTTCAGATCTCTTCAGAGATGTTCAATCGGCTTAAAGTCAGGACTCTGGCTGGGCCACTCAAGGACATTCACATAGTTGTGCCGAAGCCACTCCATTGTTATCTTGGCTGTGTGCTTCGGGTCGTTGTCCTGTTGGAAGATGAACCGTCGCCCCAGTCTGAGGTCCAGAGCGCTTTGGAGTATGTTTTCATCGAGGATGTCTCTGTATATTGCTGCATTCATCTTTCCCTCAATCCTGACTAGTCTCCCAGTTCCTCCCGCTGAAAAACATCCCCACAGCGTGATGCTGCCACCACCATGCTTCACTGTAGGGATGGTATTGGCCAGGTGATGAGCAGTGCCTGGTTTCCTCCAGACATGACGCTTGGCATTCAGGCCAAAGAGTTCAATCTTTTTTTCATCAGACCAGAGAATTTTGTTTCTCATGGTCCGAGAGTCCTTCAGGCGGGCTGTCATGTGCTTTTTACTGAGGAGGGGCTTCCGTCTGGCCACTCTACCAAACAGGCCTGATTTGTGGAGTGCTGCAGAGGTGGTTGTCCTTCTGGAAGGTTCTCCTCTCTACATAGAACAACCCTGGAGCTCTGTCAGAGTGAGCATCGGGTTCCTGGTCACCTCCCTGACTAAGGCCCTTCTCCCCCGATCGCTCAGTCTGGCTGGGCAGCCAACTCTAGGAAGAGTCCTGGTGGTTCCAAACTTCTTTCATTTCCGGATGATGGAGGCCACTGTGCTCATTGGGACTTTCAATGCTGCAGAAATCTTTCTGTACCCTTCGCCAGATCTGTGCCTCGATACAATTCTGTCTCAGAGGACTACAGATAATTCCTTGGACTTCATGGCTTGGTTTATGCTCTGATATGCACTGGCATCTGTGATACCTTATATAGACAGGTGCGTGCCTTTCTCAATCATGTCCAATCAACTGAATTTAGCACAGGTGGACTCCAATCAAGTTGTAGAAACATCTCAAGGATGATCAGTGGAAACAGGATGCGCTAAATTATGAGTGTCATGGCAAAGGCTGTGAATACTTTTGTACATGTTATGTTTTCGTTCTTTATTTTTAACAGATTTGCAAAATGGGTTATGGGTTGTTGTGTGTAGAATGTGAAAATAATGAATTTAATCCATTTTGGCTGGAACATAACAAAATGTGGAAAAAGTGAAGCGCTGTGAATACTTTCAGGATGCACTATAGTCATGGTGCTATGAGAAGGGGTGAGCTATTTATAAGTGGTAGAAATTTTGTTAACATGCCGCACAATGGAACAACAGAAACTCTTTAATATCAGTAATCATGTTAACTTGCAGGCGCAATTCGCAAAGGCACAAATAATCCAGGAGGATATACTTTCAAATGCCTTTAAGAAGACAGTATTTTAATTCACATATTTCAATGGTTGTATTTTATTTTTGTTTAAGGCTGACAGCCGAGAAAATTCACTCAGAATCTAAAAGCAAACCGTGCACCCTGTTCTCAATTAAATGTCAACCAAAGGGAGTTGGTGTACATTGTCTGGGTTCATACATTTAATACACAGGGGATGGACACAACATCATAACCTCCTGTAAAATACAACATACTTTACTGCAGTAGCCATGCAGCAACTACTACCAAATGTCCATTTTTATTGACCTGGTCAGAAAGTTGTTTATCTAAATCTGGTCATTTTGAGGCCAGTTTTCGCCCCCTGAAGAGACAATGTAATCAACTCAAAATAAAATTAAAAGCTTCATAAAGGTAGTGCCACTGCATTTTATAGGTGTTAATGTAGCTGTATGCATACCATGTTCTCTATTTACCAGCAGTTTGCTTCATCATACTCGTAATATTCAAACAAGAATATATATTCTTGTTTGAATATGACGAGTATGACGACCAGAGCAATATCGATTCAATATCGATTCAACGAGTAGAGCATCAAATACTGTGACGCGTTAGAAAAAGCTGGGAAATCAAAATCACGGTTACCTATGAAAGTATAGACAACCACTCTCAGTTTCAGTGCCATGTGGCTGCCTCTTTCCCTTTCCCTTACCCAGTGTCCAATTCTTACAGCAGAACTGCGAAAATAAAACTTTCGGGAATGTGGTTGCCGTCAACAGTCTGGACATGGTTTTTTCAGGCCAGATTAAAGCCTTGATTGTGATCTATAGCCTGTAGAAGCTTCTCACAGAGGGTTTCCAGACTCTTGTACTTGGGTAGGTCCAGCAGGTTAAAGCAGGTGTGGGCCACAGGTAAGTAATGCTCCCCTCCACTGGTGGGCTGGATCACTAGCTTCAGGTTTTTCATTCCCAAAATGGGTATCCGGTCACTTCCTGTGAGGAACACTTGAGGCAAGAGACATTGTTTTGCATTTAACTTTTTGAATTGTATTTCAAAGTACAAGTCAATTGCAATAATGAAAAAAAATAATGAATTCATTAGCTGACAAAAACAGAAGTACTTACATAGAAATTGCTTTTTCTTCTCTAAGGGAAGACTGTGGAACACCTCCCAGAAGAGCCTGATGGTGGGATGGTCCTTCCAGTACTCCCCTTTGTATTCAGTACTCTGAAGGAAGAGATAAAAAGGGATTTCAACCATTTCAAATGGGTTCGAGGAGCCGTTCAACAGTTTGTCTAATACTTTAGGATTATCAAATATTTGAAAATAACCATTTCCACATGCAACCCCAAACAAATGTGATCTAGTTCTAGAAACATCCTTCTATATATCTTCAGAAATGCTTGTTTCATAATCCATGAACTTCCACAAGATTCCTTTTCAAGGGGCCCAAAAAATTTCAATCAAACAGGAAGCAAGACCTTTTCGAGCTCTGTCCAGTCATAGTTGGTGTTGCCAATGACCATGGCTTGCAGTTCATTTGGCTGGAACAGCTCGAGAACTTTTCCTCCGCACACCTTGTGGAAGCCTGCGTAGAAGCACTCAAAGAGCGAGGCCACTGATGTGTTGAAAACATAGTCTACGTATGCGGCGACAAAATCCTGCCTACAGGGAGAGAAGAGTAAAGGGATTACAGTGGGATGACAACAACATGAATGAGATAGTAAAGAGAGAATAAATGAGAATACAAATTGAAATCAAACTGATTCTGGGTTATTTTTATGTTTCAACAGTAGTCTTAGAATGGATTAATGGAACAATAGAATGTTTTAACTGGGAAGCTTTCAAGGTTACACCCCCCCCCCCTCAATCTTTATTCTACAACGAGCTATGTTGCTGCTGCCTCCAGCCAAATAGTTAGCATTCAGATGTGACAATGGTACTAATTTTCTCCCCCAACTCTGAGCAGGACAGTCTTCTACAGGTTATCAGGACAATTGTACCGGTTTGATTTATTGACAGAGATGTCTTCGCCATTCCGCACTAGTTCCAGGACCTCTGTGGCGCCGTAGTTCTCCTCTGTGATCTGAGGAGTAAGGCAGTGTTTGGAAATCAAAACTACTTATTTCACCTGTCATGCACCACAGAGACTGCTGCCTGTCAATCATCTTACTGTGAAGTTCAAGCAGAAGGTCTCCTCGAGGTCATCTTCTGTGTAGTCCAGTAACTGCTGCAGACTCCTAGTTTATGAGGAGACAGAAACAAAGTTTTCCAAAGCAGACATTTGGTGATCATTCAATCAACGATCTATGGTAATGTTCTTGCAACATTGGATGCAGTTAATAGAGTACCATGGTAAACTGACATTCATAAACATGTTAAATGGGAACCTCAGATGACTGTTCCATGATCTGACCTTCCCACATCTGGCATTAGCTCTTTCAGGTCATCTAGTGTCGGCTTCCTCTTCAGGAGCTTCTTGTAAAGGGCCACTGGGAAGTTGAGTTCCACTATTGTCAGATTGTAAATGGCCAGGCCACAGATGACCCCAATGAGGTTGAACAAGTCAATGTCCTCAAAGGTCTGTAAAGGACCATCACAGCTTTGGTCAGAGGGCATACTCAATGTGTATCACGTATTCATTGACAACAACAACAAATGCCTACACATTGCAAGGTTTGACAACATAGGAAGCACCTTGTTTGAAAACCAGATGAGCCTGGACTCCTCGTAGTAACGGAACATCCCATATTTGGGATCCAGCAGCTCTTTCATGATCAGGAGGAAGAACTCTTTTCTCACGCCTCCTGCATCGACTGCCTCTTCTCCCACAAAGATCACCTGTCAGGAAGTTAGCGCAACAGCAGCACTTTTTATGATTGGAGGGGCAACACAGCATTTGTAAATATATATTGCATGTATTTTAGGAGCATGAGCATTCATGTTACAATATTATAATGACATAATATTGATGAGACTAGCTGTTTATAACCATTAAAAACGTGATGAATAGCATCCCAATGATCTCCTTATCTCAGTTTTGGTCTCCCCCAACTTGTGGTTACATGTCACTGTGAGTAACACCTTCAGTCATTTGCTGCATTGTTACTGGGAAATCGGAATTATTGCAGCTTTCTACCTTGAGTGGTTTCTTGTAGTCAACGTTCTTTGACTTCCTGAGGACTTCCATGGTGTCTCCAACAATATTTTCTCTCCGAACGATGAGTATGAGGCACGGGTTGACAGATTCAACCGCTGGCAGGAACATGGAACTAAAGTTTTGCATTTGTGCCTGGTCCACTGCCATCTAGAAATAGAACAAAGGGGATGCCACATGAACGAATAACATGTCTATGTTTCAAAGCAACGGCAGTGGTGGCCTGTTCCTTCTACTTGTTCTATGGTGGGCCACATTACGAGGATCCGTTTCTAAACACATTAAACAGGCCTAATCCCATTGATTTATTTTCACGTTAAACGAAACAAACCCTAATAAGTCTGCCCTGTTCTACAAAACGGAAAAAAACGAGACTGAAGGCTGGCGCAGGCTTCTGCGTCTTTACGCACCGTCGTGTCGACGCACTCGTTTCAATTCATGGTTTTTAAAGTCTTGCGTGTGTTGCAGAGCAATTCACCGCCAGAACAACAGGTGGAGTAACGGGTTTTGTTGAAGACGACCTAGAGAGTCACGTCTTTGTGTGTGGAAGTCGTTGGTTTGTTTATTTATTTATCATAGACTTTATTGCCCCGTGCATCGGCACTGCTGCTTTACATCGCAGACACATTTGTCCCGTATTTTCCTCCACAACTTTGTTCCCCTCGACCGGCAAACGGACGTTTGCGGAGATCTCCCTCCATGAGTGGAGGCCATCCACGCGTCCTTATAGTTCGCCAATGACGTTGTATAAGTGGTCATATTTACGGATTTTTTCCGACAAAAGCTCTTCAATGTGTTTTATAAACATTCTTTGTTTTAATAATGGCGGTTTTGTGCTATGAAAACAGAAATGTGAGACTCCGTAAAGGATGTAGTTAGCAGACCAATCGAAGCCTTGCAGGCTGCAGGAAGCTTGCGTAGCTTTTTACTCAAGCCTAGAAAAATGGGTCGACGCACGCAAGCACACAAGGAGGTGTGAAAAGGCATGCAAGGGACACGCAAGGGACACACAAGGGGCTCTTGCGTCTGCGTGTCCTTGCGTCTCTGATAACGCAGAAGCATAAACTAGGCTTTAGTCCCACCCACTCTCACTTATCACAGATGTTCAATTAGTGAAATGACTTGTCAAACAAAGAAATTATTCAAAATAAGAATTTGAGACCAATTATAGAGATAAACACAAATATATCAGCAATTTAAAGAATATAATTTGTAATCAAAACAAAATGATGGCTCCAACAACAACAGTGCGATCAGCATATGTCCAATTGTTTGAAACCACGTGATTCAGCTCCTTATTACCTGCATCTGTATGACGGCATCAGTCTGAAGCAGTGTTGTCTTTGCTTGGGCATCGAACACAAAGGGATACCTGCACAAAGTCACCACACCATCATGACCCTGAGAATACAGAGGCAAGAACAGATGGTTCATACAAATGCTCAAACATAGACAAGTGTGACGGTGACATCAGCTGGAGACTCACCAACGGGTACATCTGCCTCTGAATCCATGTGACGTAGTCATTCCTGATGTCGATCAGCTCATCCAACTCGTGGATGTAGAATTTATCGTACTGAATGATGTGTCCTGCTCTCTCACTCACCTGGAGCCACAGAAACATGTTTGTAAATGCGTTATGACACAGGTCCATTTGGGGGTTTTGTTGTCATTTCTCACTGTTTGCAGGATCTCCAGGAGTTTGAGGGACGTGTCCAGGAAGCAGGTGAAAATCCTCTGCTCAACTGAAGGAATGCCCATCTTGTGCATCTGAAGCAGATACACCACCACCTCCTTGTACAACTCGACCAGACGCTGGAAGGCGGGGGGCTCAAATGTAGACCACCAGTTCCCTGGTGCAAATACAAGAGCAAACACATTGTGAGGAGAAGGTAGAAAGGGTTGGATCATGTGCAGCATAAAAAAATCATTCATCTTACCGAGCACTTTCAATGGAGCCTCCTTCAGACTGAGGAGGGACTTGGCAAACGGAATAGCGATGGTCACGTAATTATTCCGGTCCTTGAAGAGAGGGCATTCTGGAAGTGTGAGGTAGAGTCGCAGGGCTTCAATGTCTGGAGGAGAGTTGCTTAGTTTGGGAATAAGGTTCTTTTCCAGACTGGCAGCAATCTGAGAGACACAGAGGAAAGTAAAATGTTCGGTTATGATTGATGCCAAATCTTGTAGGCCATCACGCTGATGTGTAACGATATTGGGGCCACGGCTTCCCGTCCTGTGCAGAGTGAGAGAAGATGTTCACACACCGACTACAAACACCTGCCTTATTGGAATATAAAACATTGAGATATGTGTGATTAGACTTCATTCTGAAAATTAGATAAAAACTGTTTTATTATATCGTGACAAGCTTTCTAAGTGTGGGAGCCAGAGTAATATAGCACTTCCCCTTTGACCCATACCAAGGACATAATAAAGTGAATGTCCAATGATGTTGTAACTAGTCATGGTGAAAGCATTACAGCGTAAAACTGTGTTGAGAAAGGAGGGCTATAAATATACTGAAATGTCCATTTGTGCAGACAGTAATGTGTGTCTTAAATTGGAATGACCACTACAGATGCCCGTGTTTGCTTTTTCACTCGCTTGTCTACAAAGATGACATCGACGTATCAGAAGAGGATAAATGCTACGATGTTTCACATTGGGAGTGGTCATGGATGATAGCTCTTTTTTCATAAGCCTGTATACACTCATTCACAGTACATGTACATTTACAGTACGAGTACACGCATGTTAGAAACTAGTGGAACAGGAGCCACATGAGTTCATCCCCCACAAGGCATTTCTTTAAAGAGGCCTCTGACCTGCTGAGCGATCTCGTGGTGATGCTGTTGGATGACTTTGTGCAACAGGATGCGAGCCGTGTTTACATCCACGCCTGAACACTTACTGCTGGTACTGTAGTGATCTGGGTGACTGCAAGAGAATATAAATACCGCCACTTACTTACAAGAGGGAGACTGAATATTAGAAACATAATATTATCACACAGGACAACAAATATGAAGTTAAACAATATACATGTATAATATGGATATAATATAAAGAAGAATAGTGTTGAAATAGTGTTGTGATGAAATTATTTGGCAAGATGCATTGACTTCATATTTTGTCATCTAAATTAATAACGAAAAGGGAATATCATTTAAAATTTAGATGTATATCCGCAGTATTTAGTATCTGAGTAAGAAAGATCAAAGTCAGGAAAAGGAAGTTCACTGAGTCTGAAGAGAGGATTACCTCGTGGACAGAAAAGATCCGTTGAGGCAGCTCGCCGAGGAGAACACAAGGTCAATCTCACTAAAGGAATCATAAAAGACAAGTAGTTAATCTGAAGACTTTTCCAAAAGAAAACTCCATAAAAGAACCATGGCAACTTGTAGAAATATACATCTACAAACCAACTAAATGTAACAATAACACCAGTGACGTATAGTATGTAAATGTATAGTATACTTTAAACAGTCATGCAGTCATATTGTTAATATGAAAGTTGTTAGTTTTGAAAAGTAGCGTTTTAGCACATTACTTGGAGATTTCTATTGGGAGTCTCCCTGGTGAGTAGTTACACCACTTGTCTATAATATCCTCATTCAAAGTGCAAATCTTCCTGTGGGGATCTTGCATCATCGTGTCATCCATGTTCTGCAGTTTCTACGAGAAGAAAAGAACTGTTAGTACATAGAGTTCAATAAAAAGTATTTACTTAAAAATACTTAGTTTTTATGTGGTATTCATCTCCATGATTAGACACCAAATAGAAGAAGCAATTTTATTCACACTAAATAAGAAATGAAGAAAGGTTGTGATGCAAAATTCCACCACATAATTAAAAAAAAAAATTAAAAAAAGACTACCATGTCAATATTAACATTTCTTTTTATGGTCGTATAAAAAAAAAAAAGGTACCTAATAAGATTTGTTTGCATGACAACTTACATTGTTTGTGCAGTAATGAGCAAAGCTCTGGTCTCCTCCAGCATAAATCCTCTTGACATAACAGCACGGCTCAGAGTCTGTAATGTTATCCAACGGCAGCAAGAGATAAATGTATGGATAGATGACCTACGTCACCCCAACCTATACATATGTAAACCGTATACACGCGCGCACACACACACACACACACACACCCATATACATGGGGGGCCTTGTAAAGAGCAAACTTTTTAATATTGTGTCAGTCGAAATACAATTCAGTGCAGATGCGAGTTTTGCGGTCTGGTTCTCACTTTCACTTCTGAGGAAGAACCAAATGCAGCCATACTGTCTCACCTGCATCCTTGGAAGCCATCCAGGGGCCTTTGACGAGGGCCGGACTCTTTCTGTTGCAAGTGGAGCGAGTGCCAAGCTGCCCGTTACCGGCTAGCCCAAACGAGTCCATCTTTGCACCGGAGGGTGTGAAAGCCAGCGTGTGCTGCCTTTTAAGTGGAAAGATATTTTAGAGAATTTAAAATGAAATATATGTTCCTTTTAGCCTAGTTACTCAGGATTACACTATGGACATCAATGTAGGTAAAAAAACAAATTCAAATTAATCCCTAGTTTAAAATACAATGTGTAAAAGGTATAAAACACAAGTTTTACCTTCCACATGCAATCTGCGTGACCACATTTCCCATGAGCTCAAACACTTTCCTCGGGTTGATTTCATGGTTTGTAGAGTTGTGTCCAAGTTGTCCGTATCCTCCAGCACCAAATGTGAACACACCTCCTTCCTGTAAAATCAACACACGAGTCGTTTCTGTTCTTCTCAACAACCAAAGTACGGCAAGGCACGACACATGACATTAAATGACCAAAAATGTCCTAACTTAACTTGGTAAGTGCTGCTGTGTGATCTTCTCCACAGGAGATGTAAATCACTCTCTGGGATCTAAGGGACTTCAGCAGGGATGGAAAAAAACGATCTGGAAAAGATCCTCTGACAGTGAGTCTGACTTGAGGGCCTGAATGCTCTGAAGCAGTAAGCATAAATAGTAGTAGTACTACTTCTTTAGGGGTTTTTACCACACACCATTGCAGTCATTGAGACCCAGCTGACCAAACTTGTTGCGCCCCCAGCCGAACACCGCCCCCGAGAGAGTGAGAGCAAAGCTGTGAGCGCCACCTGCTGATATCCGAGCAAAGGGAATGCCCTGCAGAGACTGGATCATTTGGGGGGTGGAAATACTCTGTCCGTTCATTCCTAGCCCGAGTTGTCCATATCGGTTGTGGCCCCAGGAGAAGACTTGGCCACCTGAGACAATGAATAAAAACACAAAATGCATCTATATATGTAGAAAATAGGATGTACTGCGAGCATTTTGAGGGTGCAAACCATACTCACCTCTTGAAAGTGCATGTGAGTGATAATAGCCACAAGCTACCTGAGCAATTTGTACATCTGACAAACTCTTGATATTCCTGAAAAAGGAAGAAAAAAAATGCAGTATGTGTGTTTTATTATTTTATATATGATTAATATATGTTTGAATAATGCTTATTGTGTGCATATATAGATGCTTTCATTACATGTGCCATAACACAAAAAGACATGAGCAAAATAATCATTCAACACAAACCAAAGTGGGTTTAAGGCCAATCAGTGAGGGGAAACATTAGTTTGGGACTTTACCTCGGCACACGCACACATTCTTCAAAGTTCTGTAGTCCCAACTGGCCATCTGAGCCCAGGCCCCACGAGAACACCTGCCCTTTGTCATTCAGGGCCAGTGTGTGGGACTCTCCACATGACACTGCCACAATGATCTGTGCATCCAGAGCCACGACCTGCTCTGGAGGACGACGAAGAGAACCGTGGTTAATCACGTCCCGACACGTTACACGTCTACGAACACACAGTACCAACCTGGTTTCTTGCGGGACTTCTCGTGTCCCAGCTGTCCTAGGTCATTGCATCCACAGGTGTACACTGTCCCGTCCTCCAGCAGGTAGGCTGTGTGCCTGTGGCCGCACCCCAAATCGCACACTTGCTTCCCGTGAAAGAATTCACATTTTCGTGGCTCAACAACAATCTCTTCATCGATTCCCCCCAAGCCTAGCTGTCCATAGGAGGCATTTCCCCAGCACAGCATGGCGTGGCGCGTCTCTCCTTCGTCTCCGTCTCTGCGGGGACAGAGAAAGACACCTCGGCTCATACGCCCGTACGGAGCACGTTTAGATGACCATGGTGTGAGCTGCAGGGTACACACATGAGCTGGTAGCAGCTAGCACGCTAGCGTTAGCCGAGTAGCGTCATGGCTCACTAACGTGGTCGCTGACGCGCGTGAAATGCTCGCGTGCGTGTGGGGTCTTGATGAGCTGGTAGCTGTCTTTAGGAGTTAATGATGCAACACACTCTGTCAAAACGACAACATGTAAACAGATTAGCCGAGTAAGCTACAGTGAATTTATTGGATACGTTAAGTTAGCTCAATTATTCAATGACCAATTCATTTTTTTGGCGTATGACATTTCAAAGTAAAAGTTACGTCTAAATTTGCTTAGAAAAGCGACCACTTATATCTGTACCGAAAATGAAAATGCGACGTACAACTCAAAGTAAAAAGTCTGCCGTTTGTTCTGACACATAGCGACGTATGCAAGTCACGGTATTTGTCACTTTCCAAGCGGAAGTAAGGTTTTTATCTTTGCTGTGAACATACCGTCCTTGGTTCTGACTAGAGGAGCTAGCCTTCCTCCTGACGGCCCATAAAGCAGACCGATCCCTCGTGCACCGCGCGGATGTAGTGTAATTTAACGTAACGTGTTTGTGCTTTGGCTGTAACGTCAATTGGCTGTAACGTCAATGGTAGCTATTGGAGTTAAAGTAAGTTTCAACATGATGTGCGTTAGCTGAGTTAATCTAGTAAAACGACAGCATTCTTAAGTAGAGAAGCTGTATTAATCCCTTACGTATGTTGAACCAGTGAACAAGTTACCACCAGGTCTAACGTTACGATGTCTATAACGTAGGAGCCAAACACCACATCTTACCACACCCGCCAGATCACGAAGTGTTATTGTTGTCCAGGGTTTTGCAAGCTAGCTGCTGGTGCTGCTTGTTAAAAACGCAGACAAGCACACGTCCGACGTAAAATATCAAAGGCCAGCGAGTTGGGTAAATTCCGACCCAATTCGTCTCCTCCAATGACTGTCAACAACTGCTGCGCGGCGGCCACAGACGCACTCTGGGCGTCCGTCTTTTCTTTCAGAAGTAAAACTCCTTTTAAAGTAAGATTTCGGCACACCGTAAAAGACAGTGTTACTGCGACTTCAAGTTTCCGTTGACGCCAAATTATTGTCCGGATTATCCGATCACCTTCCTTTAAACACGTTGGTGTAGATGAAGTGTCACCGTGTAAGCTTTTAATCTGAAGGCAACCTGATTTAACCGGAAGTTTGGACTTTACTGTATGGAGGAGAATCGTCGCGATTCATCTACGACGTTCTAGATGGGGCACAGACGCGCATGCGTGTTGATGCCTCTTGTGTGCGTACGTGAACGAAAGTGCAGCCTTAAATAGTTTACATGTCATGTGTGCGGTTGTGAGCTGGTAGTGAGCAAGTTAGGACCACCAACTACCCCTGAAAGGCATTATAAGTGAATGCTCATCCAACAACAACTAAATCAAATGGAAAACAATTCAACAGGAAACATACAAATATATTCCAAGAAAAACCCAAGACAAGTAAAAAAAAACAACAAAAAACTAAATCAATTGAATTCTATTCTATGATATGAGGTTATCTTCTTGCAAGAATAAATGTCCTGTAAATGATTTCACATTGGTGTCAAGTAGATTTTTTTCTAACATAATTTATAACAAATCTCTATTAAAATATAATGTACAGTATTTTCATTATTTTTGCTCCATTCGAATTTCGCTCACCTCTTGCACTTACGAAGGATGTGGAACTTCTCTGGTTCTCTGCTTGACCTAATTTGTCTCCCTCTGTTGGACTACTTACACGTAACTACTACAGTTGATTTTGTGAGAAAAAAAAATGATTCATGAAGTTTCTAAATTAGCTTATTTAGTAGCTTCACGAGCAAAGAGTATCTAGAATAGCTTCTCTTTGGTGATGCTACAGAACAACAATGAAAACAAAACAAACTAATAGTGTAGCTATAGAATAACAACAACATAAATTAAGTCAACATCTAAGTAAATGTAGAGTGGTATCACCACATTTCTACTTAATATATCAAAATGAGAATGTAAGAGTATCATTAGATGTATTTGGATGGTTTACACATTGAGCAGGTTCAGGAGGAGCTAAACTTTAATGTTTTCTATTCTGGCAGTTCAAATGTGTTTTATTTAAAAGTGTACTCTACAAAAAAGTACACAAAAAGTGATCTAGCAAATAAGTACAACATTTCTTTGTTGTTATTCTGAAGTACAAAGTAAAATGTATTAAAAGTAATTAAATAAAGTACAAGTACTTCACAAAAACTACATGTATTTCTTCATGTATGTTCTTCATAGCATGTCCCATACAACTCTTTGTTGTACAGCCGCCACACAAAGGGCTTCCTTGGTGTTATTTGACGGCAGTGTAATGAATAAATGATCTACTTATTTTTTATTCCAACACACGCTTTGGGTTCAACACCAAGTAATAGAAAAAATAATTCAAATTGAAATACTTTATTGCTTTCCAATACACTTCCAAAGTAGGTTAGTGAATTGGTGACAGGTGGTGATTAATTTTATCTTCTCCAAGTTTCACCCAATGCTGCATTCGATTAAAATTCATACAGCAAGTGTGAGTTGTAACTGTTTTCTTTTATTGCTTTAAAAGACAGATATATTGTAAACATCCCACTACGTTAACACTGAAAGACAACAATAGCTGTCCTTGCTCAACAACAACCCATTTACGCACACACTTGCGTAGCAGCACTCGTGCTTTGTGAGTAACATATTTAAATTGTAAAAGCGGTTGGTGGTTTAAATCCAGTTTCTCCTGTAATACTGGTTCTTCATGGGTTTTCCCTTTGTAACTTACGCACTATGGTCTGATGTTGCAGAGCAGCAGGAACTTGTTTCTCTCAGGCAGCGCACAAACAGCACAGAACCAAGACAAGTAGACATGTTGGACTTGCTGGGCGTAAGTAAAAACCATGTAATACATTATTTGATGACTTATTCTTAACTAATCAGCGTTTTTATTGGATGAGGGCTGTATCTTATGTTATGTTGACCAGGGTCTTTCTTTTAATATGCTCAGGTCGTTGCTGGCCTCCTCTTCATCATAATGTGCTTTTCAAAAGGACTCACAAAGGTCAGTTTCAGATTTTGAGTTAAAAAAAACATCCCTGTAGCTGCTGGAGGAAGTGACCAAGACCAGGAAGTCGGAAACAAAGTGTGATTCTTTTCTTTTACAGGAAGGCAAACCCCAGAAACTACAACTACTTGAAGGCTCTGCCTACAACAAGAAAGTGAGTAATCATCCAAAGTTAAATGCTGGAAAAATGTGTGATCATTTAGATGGTGTATTTTACATTATCAACTTTTTTTCTTTCATTATTATTTCATAACAGAAGGATTTGACTGAAGAAGATGTGCATTTACTGGCCAAGATCCTTTCAGTTGGATTGGTGGATGCAGACCCAAACTATCTCCAGCATCTTAAAGCCTACAGAGACTTGCATCGTGCCTGATTTAACATACCGAATAAGGATATTCACAGAAGTGGAAACACAGCACACATCTTCAAATAGGATGCCATCAAATCCAGGATCTTTAGTATTGTGTTTTGGATTATCAAGGATCGATGCAGCCAGCAGGTGAATCCATCGTTAATGGGTGAAAATGCACTTTATTCAGGCCAAACATGACATTGGTAATGAATTGCTTTGTGAAGAGAGGGACGTAACAGTGCTTATTGTCGACTTGACGTTGATGATTCTGACTGCTTCTTGTATTATTCCTGGGTAATTTGTGGGAAGAACCGTACTCTGATTTTTGATCTGTCACTGCTTAAAATGAATGTAATTATAATAATAATACTATAGAACGGGAGGATTACTTGTGCAGTTGCTTTCAGTGGTACTTGCTTTACTGGACTTGCTTTAATGTTTAAGTTGTTGTCTATGTTAATAGCCCACTCCTTTATTGAGCTTTGCCCTCTAATATTCACATTGAAGTACAAGTGTTACCTAATATAGCTGTTGGCTGAATTTTCATGGCAGATTAAGCCATTCACAATGAAACTAAAACCATGTAACATTTTTTTAATGACAATAATGAAATAAATGCTAATTAGATTTTAGCTGAACACTCAACATTAACGTGAGTGTACTGTTTGCTGCATACAAGTTTAAGGATCAGCAAACTACTAAACTATTAATCATTCCAGCCCAACGAAGGTTGTGCATCAACACCCCGCAGTGTATTTATTTGAGCAATGTCGCTATTCATTTCTTATAATTCTAACCTTTCATTTAAAGAAGGAATATTGTGTTTCAAGTTGCATAGTGTCCCTTTGAAGGTCTACTGTGCCTCCATATTTATTTGCAGAGAGGCTGAATTACTTTGCTGTTGTTGTCATTTGGTTCATGTCCTTCCCTGGAGTAAAGGAGACAAAAGAGAGAATGAAACGAGACCAAAATGTACATGTCATGCTATGCTTGGCCCCACTGATAAATTCAAGGCCACTTACTCCAAACACGGCTGTTGAGTTTGTCTCCTAGCACGTAGAGGAATACCACCACCGACATGTTAAAAAAGAAGAAGCCCACCAGACCAGCTGTGCTGAAGTAGGCAAGGAGGGGGTACACCCAGATCCCAACGGACAAGTACACCCACACAATCCTGCAGAATGTGTTTAGAAGGAAACAAATAAACAGTCTCACTGTATCTGTCATCTTGTACTGTCTTTTCTCAAAGAACTATTCACTAGCACATAGTTTCTACCCGTCGACAATGAGGATATAGATTGTGAGATTTTAACAGCAGAACACACACAGTCCAACAAAGAATGCTCCCCACAGCGTCTTGATTCATGCATGGTTTGTGCCATCAGGGACACAAGGAGGCAGCGGTGCAGTATTTGAGCTAACTGTTGAAGGTTCAAATTAAGTTTTAATACCTCAAGCCGTTTGAATTGTGATTAACACCACTGTGCTTAAAACCACAATAGGTTATGTATGAGACTAATTTGAACTATTCGTTAAATTGTGGATTCTCATTTTTATTCCGTTCATGAATCATCCTCTCGTACTGTGTTTGTGTTTCTTAATTCCCTTTCCCCTGTTTGGGCTTTACAATCGGTTTTATAACACTGGCTTACTTTTGAACCGTTTCGAGCAGTGCTACATGTCTATCTGTCTCCATTCAGACTTCAAGTGACATCCTACTTGTGTTTTTTTATGGTCTGTCATGCTTTTGCTAACCCTTATTGAACATTCCTGATGCAGTGTTTGGTTTTATTTCAGTGCAGTACTGCAGATTAGTTTTTCTCTCATTAAAATAGTTTATTCATTGTTTTCATCCCATAAGACATATTACGGTTCAGTCCATTTCAATGATCATCCTTCAATTATGAAGGATTTCATTCTTTTGAAATGCTGTGATATTTGTGTGTCAATTATATGCAAGGAAATTAAATGTTTTGTCAGGATACTGCTGCATGCTGACACAACACTTACCAAAATAAGTATGCCGAGCCCACACCTCCCAGCGCTGCCAGGGCGTATTTAGTCTGCGGGTAGATGTGAGGCTGCACCAACACTTCTCCAAGTAATACAGGAAGGACAAATGTGTGCTGAGAAAAACAGGATGGCAATAACGCTTATCATGAGTGAAGGTTTAAGACAGGGGAATTAGGATTATGTCATTTGCGATGATGTTATGCAGATGTACAGACCATGGCATGGTTTATCCAGGGAGGAAAGAAGGTGTCAATAGTAGCTGGGTAGACTAATTCTCTGTCATAGGCAAAGATCGTCCAGAAAAGTAGAACAACAAACTAAACAAAACATGTCAAATATGGAGTTAACATCAAGTTACTTTTGAACGATTCAAATAAGGTAAAGCATTTTAAGTAAAGATTTTTTCTCACCATTCCTACAGGGAAGGCAAAGACAGAGAAGAGGAGGTCTTTGCATCTTTTCAGAGTACTCTCTGATTTTTTCCCAGCTTGTAGATCATTCAGGGCTGCCAGCCCAAAGAAAGACATTTGTAGTAACTGAAATATTACAAATAACAGAATTTTTTTCCATTATGCATTTTCAACTGTGCAATGTACATTATTGTAAACGATTATTATTATTATTACAGGGTAATGTGGGTATTGTACACACCAAATTCAAAAAAGTAAGGTACTTCCAAGGTCCTCCGTAAAGAAAGATGCCTGGTGGCAGTTCTTCTCCTTCCTTTGCAATGAGACACTTCACAACAAATGCATACCAGCTGAAAGCCGCTACGTGGTACACTCTCCTCAGGGTGGAAGTCATTGTCGTGTCCAGCAGAAGAACCCACAAAAATGAAATCAACACAGCCAAAAACTACTCTTCTTGAGTTTTCCCTTCAAATTGAGGTACTTTGGGCAGTGAAGGTTCTTTAAAGATTAGTGTAATTCAGCGCAAGCTTATCAAGGCGTTTTCAAGCAGCGGAGACAAGAGGCCCACTGTTTCCAATGAAGGGTGGAAGTCCCTGTTTCATAACGCAGCATGTGACTGAAGCTAGTTTAATTCACAGGGACAGCTTCAAAGGTGGCATGGTGCCATGTTAAGTAATCTAATAAATTTGATTAAAGTAAGAAAACAAATTCCAGTTATGTAACTAAATCAGTTAAGTTAGAAAATCACTTCAAGTAAGTTGATAATTATAAATTGACAGAATACACTGGATTAGAAGGTGTGATGCTTGTAATGGTTTTGGTAACGTTTACTCGTAGTAGTCATAACATGTCCCTAAATGGGCTGTTTCGTAACATACTAAATCTACGCCAGCAAGCGTGGATGTTTAGAAAATGACCCTGACCTCTGGCCTCCTCGTGGAGCGACAGAGATATATAATTTTAATTGGCTGTTAACTGTTACAAAAATAACTGGCATGACGTGTAGTTTCATGACAGGTACAGAGGGAAAATTGTTAATTTTTCTTTTTGAAATTGTGTTGTGATTTAAGTGTTCAGGGATTGGCTTGATGGTCAAGACAGATACTCTGGCTCAGAGTGTTGTTTAAAAAGGCTCTGAGGACTAATGGACAAACCTCCGGCCAGCAGAGGGAGCTCCTGCTGAATCCTGCTTGGCAACAAAGATGAAGTTGTGAAAGAGTAGCCAGGTAACTCAGACATTTGGGCTGTTTAAAGAACAGCATTAAACAGATAACTGTACACAACCATTTCCATTTGCCCCACTGGCAGGTTACTGAGTAGTGTAAGACCCTGAGCATTAGGATTCTTTGAGTCGTGTGTTTCTCTTCAGAGCAAGAAACCAGTAATAGTGATTAAGCACATGTAATGTGATGATTCTGTTGTATGTTGATGTTTATGAATGCAGCATGTAAGTCTGCATTAAAGTAAGGTAAATGGACCCTCAGTTGTAGAAACGTATGTCAGCTTTATTAAAGGAATATAGTGTATATCATAAGCTACACTTATATTGTATGTTTTGTTCCATATCTGAATGCATATTTTTATATTTTCTCATTGTTTATGGCTCTTTTCACAAACCCCCAGTCCCATTATTAAAACCACACTTCACAGTTACTTCTCTCCGTTAAGGCAAAGCCAGAGTTCCACAGCAACTAGAACTAAACCCAAACTCAACACCACTTCTTAGTGGTGCGAGAGAAATGGTCATTGGGGTGAGACAAAAATTAGTATGGTCAGTATGGAAATTTTGGTAAATCTGTCATTTTAATTTAGCAGGAAATAAACACATGATTTTTAATCACTACACAAATCCTCCCCAAAACGTTAAAATTACATTCTTGTCTTATTTTGGCAAATTACTCACAAAACTGAAGTGATTTCTATTGCAGAACATGAAATAGATGGAATTTTAGGGACGGCCTATAAAAAAAATGGGTCTGTTCCACAGAAGGCATTTTGACGTGTCTCGACAGGACAGGCAGAGATGTAAGTAATAAAAACAAATGATCCTTCTTCAGGGTCCCGGGTTTGTTCATGCTGCCTCACGCTCACAGCGTCATGGCCTACTGGGATACTTGAACACCTCTGGTTTTCATATTATGACAAGTCTGCTTTGAAAAATGCCTGTAGAGACAGAGAATTTCTTTGAGAGGCAGGCACAGAAGACAGAAAAACATATTGTTGAAGACAATTTCTTTTACATATGGCACGGGTATAATTTTTTCCGTTTTGGAATTTCTTGTTTCAGTGAACAGGGATGATACGTTTTATTGTAAAAAGCAAATAACTATATAGACACTTAACCCTTTGGCATCTAGCCAATCAGAGAGCTTCGGCTTCAAACACAAAAACGTCTTTCTTACGTTTGTTTTTTGCACAAATGATTTTTCTACTAAGTCTACATTGTATTTACACCAGAACAACACCAGTCCTCCATGCATGGGGATCTATATAATATATATATATATATATACACACACACACAGACACATATACATATGTCTATATATATATATATATATATACACAGGCTTCACAAACACATGTGATTACCACGGTTGTGAAATTCTACAATATAACCGTATAAAACAGTGAGAAAAACTCTTGACTACTTTACACAATCTATTTATTTATACTTGTACATAACACATTATGTCTTAAAAAGAGTTCCAATTAATGTAATGGCTGTCGTGGCTGTAAAAAGGCAAGGTCAGACCTCATCGAAGATCTGTCGCAAAAATTGCACTCAACCCAACCAGTCAGTAATACCATATTTGATACCTCTCACATCTTGTTTGCCATGACACATGTAATGATGTATTACAGGTAGTTTTACTCTTTAGAGTTCCGTGCTGGTGATACAGGTCCCCTGCTTCTTCTTCGTCTTTTTTAGGTCTACAAGCACAGAAATCCCATTTCTATTAAAGGTCTTTGGTGAGAAAATAGCGTTTGTTTCTGTCTGCAAACACTGTGCTGACACTGATCCCGTTTAAGGTGCCATCTGTGAAAATAATAGAAACAAAGTGAGTTACAACAAGGGAAACACAAAGTGCCCATAAATTGGTAATCGGAACAAGGGTTTTAATAAGGTCATACCTCAAATCGGCTGTAAACTTTCCTCTCCTTCCTCATGGTCTGGATTTTCTCCAGCGCCTTTTCCCGCTGCTCAGTCGTCTTGGGCTGCCCTCTGCTAAGTGATCTGATCCCTCTTTCTTTCTCTCTTTTGGCATTTTTGTCAGCTTCGTCTTCTTTCTCGTCATCGGTGACAGGAGACTCTTTAGCAGATTCTATCCTGCTCTGGCTATTAGCAGAAATTTGCTCCAAGAGCAGCTTTGTATCGTCTCTGAGGTTGCTGCTGGAGAGCAGGTTGGCTGTGGATGATTGGTAGCGGGAAAGACTTGATTTGGGCATCTTGGACTGTGGTGATGCAGGAACAACTTCGTCTGATGGGATCTCTGGCGGTTCGGAGCAGTTATTTTTTACGACTTGTTGATTTGTTTTCTCATTGCATGCTGACTCATCTATAGTAGTTTTATTTACTGTAATGGTGGACTCTGTATCATCAGTTTTTATCCCATAAGGGTCAGGCCTGTTGATGTGACTACGCTCAGCAGATACAGGTGATTCTGGAGGGTGGGCTTCAAAAGCCACAGATTCAGGTGTTTTGCTTGGTTCAGAGGGCTCTGTTGGGACTTTTAGGGTTGGCGCAGTTGAGCAAGATGTTTCTGTTGATGGAAGCATTGGTGTTTCAGTTGAGTCTGTTGCAATCTGCTTGGAAAAACCTCCACTATCTGAGTGGCTGTGCAATGTAGTCAATGTTTTTTCAGCCTCAGGGGACCAAACGGATCCCAAAAACTCTGTTAAAGGAGAAGAACATGATACTGGTTTCATTGGAGTGGGAGAGACAGATGTTGTCAGGTTAAGGCAGGAGGGAGGGGTCACTTGTCTTTCTGACTGAGCAGCATTAGGTGGATAGTCTGGGAGGAAGGGAGAGCTGCTTTTTGCTGCACTATGCTCGGATGAAGCGTCTCCTGGGGAGAGGGTCGAAGTAATAGTCTCATTTTGAGCAGATATTGATTTGGTTTCCAGCTCAGATACAGTATGTAAACATGATTCGGCAAAGTAGGGGCTAAGGTTAGGAGGTGGGCTTCCAGATGTTACGTTCATTGATGATCCAATATCCAGAGATTCCCCTCCAATGCCCTTTGGAGTTGATCTGTTGTCTGATTCAGGAACAGGTTTTGAAGGTGTAGGACCACATGATTGTTCAGAGTCTGTCTTTTCACTGGACTCTGATGAGGATGTGATTAGATCTCGACCAGCAGCACATTTGTCAGGAGAAAGATCAGATCCCACGTGTGCAGACTCAGCTGCTGAAAGGGTCTCAGATGATGTCAATTGGGAGGGTTCCGGAGGTGAGAGGCTGATAGATGCCTCTGCATTTAAGGACAACGTACTGGAAGTTAGTGTTGAGCTTAAATCTTCTGGGGTAACATTAGAGGATTTAAGTTCTGCTGGGAAAGAAAGAAGTGCACAGCTAGAGGGGGAAGGACTTGCATTCATCCGTGAACCAGAATCTAGCACAGTGTTACTAGCAAAAGGACTTTGGCCTGATGGGTCAGAAGTGCTGAGTTCTGACCTCGTGTCTTCTTCAGGTGGCAGAGGAGGAGAGGAGGAGATACTGGTTTCTAACTGAACTGACTCTGAATTTGGGGTGTTAAAACAAAATGCAGAGGAAGGCGGGTCCTTCACTAAACTGGGAGAGAGTAAACCAGACTTATTTGCGGTGGAGCTGCAGCTTTGGCTTTCACTTTCATCATTAACTTGTGCAAGCGAAGGAACACTAGCAGGAGTAGAGTTTGGTGGAGAGTTGTGCATGTGTGGTGGTGTAGAAGGAGGAATGGGGCTACTCTGTTTGACAGCAGGATTTGACAGCTTTAGCTCCTGCGGTGGTTTGCTCTGAGTCGCTTCTGTTTCTGCAGAAACAGGCATAGTCGCTGCTGATTGGCTGTTCTTCAGCTCTGTCGTCTCTGAATGAGGTGAAACTCTGGTTTGTTCTTGTTGACAGCTGTGAGGGATATTTGGGTCAGCTGTGACCAGACGCTTCTGCTTGTTAGCCTCATCTTCAGTATCTAAAGATGGACTGAGTGGCTTGTGTGCCTCTGTGGAGGCCGTTTTCAATACTCCCTCAGCTGCTGGGTCAGGGTTAGCCATCTTTTCAGAGGTGTCTTTTGGTACAGGCTCCTCCTTTTTAAGCGCAGCATTGTTTTTTAGTTCAGTTGGTGGTTTCATTGGAGCCTTCACTTTGCTTTTTTCAGCTTCTACAGCCTTAGCGGCTTTGCGTTTGGCTGCCAACTCCTTGAAAAATAGGAGCCTGTTGTCAGGATCACTCATATCAACATTAAGTGGAGTTGGAAGCAACAGTTTGACTTTCTTTTCTGACTGAACTTGCTCTTCAGCTGGTGGTTTGAGTGATTCTTGTACCTCTGAAAGATCCTCTGACTTTTTATCCTTTGATGAATCTTTATTATCATCTTTGCTCTTTTCCTCCTCTGGTTTGGATAGGGCTGAGGCAGAGTTCTCGAAAGCAGCTGACTTCATGTCCCGGCTCCATTGAAAAGGTTCTCTTGCAACAGACCTCCTTTGTCCTAAAACTTGAGAAACACGAGTTAATTTGGTCTGTTCTGCCTCATTTTTGTCACTTTCCTCATCCTGTTGGTCTAGGGCAGTTTTGGTATCTTGAGAAGTAGTCTGCTGCTCCATTGAGCTGAATATCAAAGAAGATCTTAACCTAGAGCTCCTCGGTAGAGCAGCATTGTATTTCCTACGGAACGACTCTCCCCTTCGAAGAACAGCAGTTTGGGGTTCTTTTGGCTGTGCCTCCTCTATTTTTTCCATTTCGGTTGTGGATGATGACTCTGAAGGTGTCGGCGATGTTTTTGTTTCTGTTGCTACTGCAGTGGGTTGATCAGGCATTTTCTGTTCTCGCACATTGATTTTGGCATAACCTGGCATTTGACTTGCCCTGGGTATTGCAGGAACCATAAACTCTCTGAGATTTGCAATTTTAGGGACTGATAATTGCATGCCCGGTGTTTGCAGGACGGGTTTAGAGGGCTCTTCAAAAGTATCTGATGCATCAGGTGATGTCGATGGCAGACCTTCATCTTGATTATCACATGCACTGAGGTATGAGCTAATTCTCCAGTTTCTTAGCCCCCGTTTCACCATAGGATCCTTGCGGTCATCATTAGGCTGCTGGAAAAACTGCTTCTCGTCAGTCAGACTTGAGGGGGTGAGAGATGTTTGACCAGAATGCGACTGACCTAAATTTGATCTTCGAGGGTGAGGTGACCCAAACGGTAAATCTGCTGGAGGTGGGAATTTCTCTGAGCCCTGGTCATACTCTGCATTTCTGGTAGATGATAAATAGCTACGCACAAGGTTAAAGTTATCATGTGGTTCCATTTCTTGAGGTAAACCAGGTTCAATGTACTGATCTGCTGAATAAAAGTCTTGGTTCCAGAACTTGTCATAGCCACTGTAGTCGGCTTCTTTTCCTGGACCTGGTCCAGGCTGCTGCCCCCACTGGGACTGCCTCTCCTTGTTCTCAGGCCCTGGCATTCCCTGCTGCAAAAATGGATAAGGGAATCTACCATGAGCATCTTCAGTATAACTGTGACGTTTGACGGCAAGGTTTTCTATCGTGGGGGTTTTGGTCGGGCCATGGTCAAAAGACTGATCCATGCGAGATTTCTGGAGTCTACTGTACACATCTGCAGGGCCGTGCAGGGACTCCTGCTTTTTAAGAGGCATCATTCTCCAATCTACGTCCATGCGTTCATCATAGGAATGTCTCGGCCATTCCTCTGGATGCGCGCTGTCCAGTGACTGAAAGTTCTTTGCCTCTCTATACAGTATTCTATCACTCGGATATTGCCTCTTTTTTGAAAGGCTGAACTCTTCCATTGGGGTGAAATTTTCGATCATCAGCGGGTGGGACTGAGCAAACAGAATCCGAAACTCTTCATCAAAGGTAGATACAAGCTGTCCAAGGAAAAGGTGTGCCATACAGCGGTGAAGCTTCTCAAAAGACCATGTGAAGCTGGACAAAGACATGACAATAAGAAAGAATGAATAGAAGCACTTCATTCAGGGCATAATTATGTCGGGGGGGGTTATGCAAACACAGACAGTAATAATAGGAGTGAATATTTCTAAATTCAAAGTGTGAAGGTAGTTTTAAATGTGTTCACCTGTAGTTCCCACTTAACACAGCCCTGCAGTCTGTCAACAGGAAGCGATCCATCATCTGCCCCTTAAAGGATTTCCCTGAGCGGCAGTGATATGTGATGCCAGACACGGTTCTCACCCGTAAAAGCTGCAAGACAAGAATCAAATCACACAAATATTAAGAAGACTTTCTTGGGAAGGGAAGGGGGGGGGGCAGGGGGTTGTGATGTAATGGTAGGGGAGACACTGGAGTTCTGATAATAGATACCTAAGTCAGTTAGGAGTTCGAGACACCTAATGTTTGGAAAAAGTGATACGCTGTTATTGTTTATTTTATGAAGTTTCCTCTGGCAACAGCTGTGCTTAACCCAACGGCACTTCTGCTTTATTTCACAAGTTGCTTAATAACAATAGTGTAATACTGTAAAGGATAGGTCTGGCAATATTCAATGCCTTTCCCAACAAATCCCATGACTCAGATCGTGTGGGTTCCGTATTCTGTCCATGGCCCTCTTACTGAAGAGGTACATCCTCACAAGGAGGTAACAAATATAGACAGGACATAGCTTGGTGCTGTTGTTTTTAGCAAATGTTAATCAACCAGGAGTCCGTTTGTTGTGCAGTACTTTCAGCTGGGGAACATTACACATTACACATAGGTGACTCAAAGTAACCTACAGCGTCTATGCTAATCAGCTAAAAGGAGAACATGACACCCGGTGCCACATTGTGCCTAAATATGATATTTCCAATGATGCATCATGCTCCATGGCAGAGAGGAATAAGCTATGTCAAACTTTAGATACACAGAAAGATTTTCTAGGATCGATTCATTGTTGTTTTTGGTCTTTTAACTAGATGTGTTGACAATAAGAGAATACAGAATATCACTAAACTTAACTTGGAGGAACTAAAAAAAACTAACATTGAATCAGGAGGTTTTTGATGTTCTATAGTCAAAGTGAGATTCATATTTGTCGTTAATGAGTTGGTTAACAGTTTCAGAGTTAACCAAATGGCAATCATTCAAAACACTTTACTTTCATCCAACCTTTTAATAACTTTAAAAAGGTCTGACTTTTAATAACTCTGGAAAAAAACCTTTGGTGGGTGGGTCGTGTGACTGCAGGGGACTGCAGCATTTGAAGAAAAGGGAGGGAATTCTAACGTGTAAGCTGTACTCACTTGAATGTTCTGTAGATTGACTCTGCAGTTGGACACCATGTTGACAAAGTGATGTGCATTCTGCTCGTCTAAGATAAGGTAGACGGCAACATTCCTCATGGCAGCGTCGAGAATATCAGCAAACACGTCGACATCAGTAAACATGTCCATCACTATAGCAATCACCTGAAAAGACAAAAGTCACAAACAAGAGAAAATTGTGAATGGCCCTGGTGGGAGATGGACACTTCTTTACCAGCTCAAAGTGAAAGGTCTACCTGCTGGGCATTCTTGATAAGTCGGCGGGCCTGCTCCTTGATACTCGGCATTTCAGGCTCAGGGGGGTTGACTAGAGTTGTGATCTCTGTCGGCCCGATGAAGTGGTGCACCTGAGGCCAGCCGAGGTCCAAACCCGGGGCGTCCAGGTCAGAGTGCATCGGCCAGTAAGTGTCTGAGGAGTTATCTCCTCCGAGCTCCAGAAACTGTTGTTCTGGGTTGTGTCTCTGCTGAGGGACCGGCACCGAGCTCTGAATGTACTGAATTTCAGGTAGGGACAGGAAGTCCACCACATCTGCTTTTTGGAGGAACTGATAGTATCCCTCCAAGTCCTCCTCAATCAGATGGTCAATAGCCAAGCGGTATTCTTCCCGATAGTGAGGGGGGAGGTAGTTGGGGTCCAGGGGGTTATCCCCATCAGAGGAACACTGTGAGCGACGTGCCATCCTGTAGTCTAAAGAGAGGATCATGGCATGAATAGCATGAATCATTTTCACTTTCACCAGCTAGATAGTCCTGAATTATCTAGTATCGATTGAATGAGAATGTACACAGTTGATAATCAGTTAAGAATACCTTTTCAACTCTTATGATTATTCCAGTTCAAGCTTCTCAAATGTAAATATCATTTTGTTTGTCTTACTTGATAGCACATCGAAAACCTGTCAGCAAACTGTCTTTGCTTGACGAAACAAAACATTTAGGGGAAATCGAAGTGGGTTCTGGCAACTTTTCTGACATGAACCAAATCAATCGACTGTTAATCAAAGAATCCTCAGCTACCACCCATTAATTTAGATAATCATCTTTTAAACGAATTGCATTATGAGCAGATCACATCCTGTTGTCAAACAACTATAAACACCTGACTGAAGTTCTTTTGCCTTAGAGAACATTTATGGTTCATTGGATCGGACCGATTTGACATTCATTCACCAAAATCAGAAGACAATGATCTAATCAGTATCATGTCTTTTATTTCAGCCCAACGCCCTCAACTCTTTCTGTGGAGACGTGTGTCCTCCATGCGAGAGGTGAGGGCTCCTCTCGGCCGGATGAATGGGGGGGTTATGGTGCTCTGCTCCCCCACCAGGAGAGATAACTGAGGTTATGGGTGTGGCTCCTCCCTACGGCCAAGTCTCCATTTGCAAGTTCATGGAAGTTAGTGAAGTGCCAGCAAAACGAAACGTTAAAAAACACAAACACAGCAGGAGAAGAATGACTTGACGAAGCTAACAGATTCGACCGATTAAACGGCTTTTGGTTTCCGAAATATTGTTTACCCAAACCCCCACCCCACCACCCCACACCCCCCTCCCCATTACGAGACCGATGGGGCATTTCGACACTCCAGCAAAGCATAAAAATCCGCGCTCGCGCGGTCCGTCCGGTGACGTGTTCCGTGAACTCACCTCCCTCGTCAAGCTTCTTCTCCGTTAAACTTTAAGCCCGTCGTCTGCTCCACTTCGCCATGTTTTCCGTCACAACTGCGACTCGCTTCTGCTCCAGGTTTGGGAACTTTTCGCTCGTCTGTGTCGTCCCCCGCTGTCACCCAGCCCAACCAGTTGGTTGTCATGCTTGAGGCATGTTGGAGGCGCACGGCGAGCCGCGATGTGCGCGGAACGTCGCCCCGCCTCGTCCGGAGCTCCACGCCGACCGTGTCCTAAAGCAGCTCAACTCTGCACATCTGTGGACTCTGCACATCTGTTATGGGTCCACTCCAGCTACTGACAACCGGGGTGATCCCGAGTAGCCTTCTCGTTCAGAATGCTTCATAAACCGACCTGCGCATGCTCAAAGCGTCACTCATAACTCATTGGAATATTCCTCTGCATGCGGGCGGTTTCCGTCCTTAAAATGTACCACACAACCATATGATGTAAAAAGCATTATGGATGTATTCTGTCAAATGAAATGAATGCTTAGAGAGAGAGCTTTACTCAGAGAAAGTATAATTGAAAAGATACTACTCTCTAATGGAGCACCCTGAAAAGTTGGTAAATGCTTTACCAATGGATCATTCATCATTTCTTACTAATTTTTAGCTTCATTGTTATATATTTATGAGTAAAACTTTGGGTTACAGTGTTATGAAAAATAATAAATCCTACAGGATTACCAACAAGTTATGGGGGACTATTTTCCCGGGCCCCCAGATCAGGATGGGGGTCCAAAGCATCCACCTTATACAGCAAAAGCTTTGTGGCAGTTGGACTTCTTTCACATTTGTGTGATAATATGTAAGCCTACTAAAGCGTTGTGAGGTATTTGCGCCTGTATCACTTCTGTTTATGTTTTTGTTCCAAAGTGCAAATCCTAAATACAATTTTTGCAAATTGCTTTGCCATTTGGCGGAGGATAATTGTAATTGAATCAGTAGTCCATAACAGTCCTTAATAATTGAAATAGAGATGTCGTTGTATTGGGAATTACAGTAAAAAAAAGGTAACTTCTTAAACTGCACGAGGTACCTTCTGCCTGTTTCTCACTCATCCATTAACAGACAGAGCACAGGGTTCAGAGACTCTGTCCCATCTACCCATTGTTGCATTGGGGAATGGTTAACCAAAAAACTGATCAGACCGGCAAAATAGGAACAACATGCCCGGCAGCAGTGAAAGAAGAGCCACTTTGAGTGTGAATAAAAGAAAACCTACCACATATTGTGTGCCTCCGCGAGGTTTCATCGCCTGGAGGCGAATAAAGAAAAACTTCAACCCTCAAACGTGGGAAGTCAACACAATGGAGCTACTGGGTTAGGATGATTATTATAAAGGCTCCATTGCCGTCCTTTGATGAAGGTGCAGTCTGGTAACACCAACAAAAGAGAGGAGCAGCACAAGGAGGCCGGGACAGATCATCCAACGCTGTGGGGAAAGCTTCTTCTGTCAACATTCATTCTTTTGTTTATTTGAATGGTTCATTAACAATATGTTTTGCGTCATTTGTAGTACTGTAAAAGGAGTGAAATGGCATGGCCTCACCAGACAGGCTGCGGTGTAAATGTCCTGTGGTCTAGTCACAGCGCTTTGAAGTTGGAGGGAGTCGGTCAGTATCTCCAGGATACGACTTTGTAGCAACGTTTTGTTAAACCCTGAAAGGAGAGAGAGAGAGCGAAAGATGGACCATACACAGAGCCAATTCCTTTAATGGTTGCTCCACTCTAGGACTTAAAATAAACTCAGCAGGATGACTAAAGTAAAGGAATTGATGCAATGTGACTGCACAAGTTAAGAATTGGAGACAGTCCCTCATTGTTTTCTGTGTCCACCACCCAAGACACACAGACAAGCCGTTTGAATAGAAACATGTAATGAATGTTCAACAATGGATCGTTGCTATACTACATACCACAGTGAAGCTGCACTCTTTGTTGACCTCCCTTTTGGTTTTGTGACTGACAGGTGATAAAACATGAACTTAGCCAATCGCAGCCTCCTGGCAAGATCTCTCTCTCTTCATAAAAGACCTTTAGGAATGTATGAATCAAACACCAAGTGTAACTGTACCGTGGTGTTGTTGTGTAACTATGAGATAAAACAATCTCCATTGAAGTGAGGCAAATATTGTTGAAGGTGAATAAAGACGTAGTATCCTTCGTGGTAGGAACACAACAGATTAGATTATTAGCTACTGATATAGGCCTTTCAGAATAAGAATAAAACCAGTTCATATACCATGTTGCCTTGGGGCAAAGTAGTATACACACCTGGAGTCAGTTTACATTGTAAACAGTACAGTCAAAGTGAAGGCTGAGCTTCCATTGTGCCACATGCGCTGTAGAAAGAGCCTATGACCCTGCTGAATAAATATGGACATCTTCGACACCAATGGAGATGTTAAGCCTCAATGACCGTCCAGTGAGTCATGTCACACTTAGAAAGCAGACTGAGAGCCAAACAGAACCATGCGACGCCCAATTGTCTGCTGTAAAGAGGTCAGTGGCTGATGCACCGCTGTTTACGGGAATAAACGCTGACACAAGTTTAATTTGCAGCACAAGAGGAAACTCAAGAACAACTGGATGACTTCAAAGCGATAGCTCACCGCATAATGCTTTGATAGTGAACCCTAAATGAACACCATTTTATTCAAGGGTGGGGTTGAACAGGTGACAGCAAGCCTTTTGTAATGTGCGCTGTTGCATGCCTTAAACTGTGTTTTAGCCTGACTAGCTGCATGGCCCTGGGGGTAGAAAAAAGACATGTGAGCTGGTTGGTCTAAACGGAACATTAACAATGTTTTTTTTTTTAAATGGAAGTTCTCGAGTGTCTTGATCGCCATTCAATTTGGTTTATGTAGCCCACAGGAAGAATCATAGCCAAATCTCTATGAACATATTAGCATGCCAATGTCAGCCTTTAGCCCAGCGGACGCCATTATATCATCTTTGCTCTACAGATCAATGTGCAAATTGTAATCTTATCACCTTTGTAATTATGGGTGATTATATCATTGTTTTTGTCTTCGGTCAGCAAAACCACACATGCTTTTTGCGTTCATCGTTTGTTTACAGGCTATGTCTCAAGGCTTTTGTCCCAGAGCAGGAGGAGGAGGAAGGTCACAGTAGAAGGAAGGAGATAGGGAAACAAAAAGAAAAGCATTTGATGGAGCTCATGACTTGGCAGGTTGCAATAATGATCAAGGGGTAATTAAAACACCACCGCACCCTGCCCATCATCACCATCTACAACTAACATAGATGGTGATGACATTGTCCGTAAATACACAATCTACCAGTCAGATTACAAAATTGTTAGACATGATTTTAAAAATCAGAGAACTCTAATTTCTAATTTGCCATAATGTGTCAAACACCTTCATTCTCAGAGGAAAAGTTGGTTGCTCTTTATCGGTCACTTGGTGAGGTCATAACACAGATGATTGTTTTCCCACATTTTGTGTCGCTAAGAGATACTGACAGACCCCTTTGTCATTGTGTCTGATGGCCAGCCGAGGATGTCTGGGGGTTTCGAGCCAAGAGACACAAACACACATGTGGGACAAAACAACAGGTTCCAGGTTCCTGTTTGAAGTTGCATTTGGAGGCCATGTGGGGGCAATAGGGTGCTGTCCTCGCTCTACACAATGGGCGTGCTGCTGAGCAGCAGGTGTACATTTGCATCTGATTTTGTTGTCATTTGCTTTTTTGACCGCATTTGTGTGTTTTGGAGAGCGGAGTGTGGAATAAATGTGTGCTGAAAGATTTATAATATATCTTCTACATCTACAGTCTTCCTATCAGCGAACATGCATGCATGGGTTTATCCTTGTGTGCACCTGTAATCACATGTACCCTTGTGTGAATGTGCCATTGTGTGTTGACACGCCACTGCTACAGGAGTAGCAGTCATTGCACTTCAAAACTGTTGCTATCCGTGTTTCAGTAAGAGTTGCCAAATAAATGCTATAAAGATTCTAGTTGCAAAGGAATATGACGCCTAGCTTCACAATTGCTGCCCAACGGTTAAACCATAAGTAGAACGAACAGCAACTGTTCTTTAAACTCATGGTGTACCCACATCATTTTTTCCCCTCTTCTAATTCCTCTCCAGTTCTATTGTATTGTATCCTGTAGCACATCCTGCTTCTACAGGACAAAGTGGAACTCCGTGCATTGAGTCAGGCACACGTGTCTCAGGATGGACATCATATCCCCCCGATACATCTGTAATACAAACACAATGGCTGATGTTGTCCCTTGGCCCACCGGGAAAAGAGGATCAACTTAAACAAGGGCATGGGTGATGCACACATCTGGATTTTCACGGTTTCACGGTTGTGTACTTTGCATGCGAAAATGCAATGACTTTATGTCACTTCTGTCTTTGTGGGCGAGCCCTGTGGTTCAGCTGTAGAAATTGCCCCCGAGCAGAATGAGAGGATCACTGGATGTAGCAAATGTACAAAGCCAGTGGCATGGATTATTAAAAAACAAAACCACATTTCAGACTGACGTTAATACTAAGGTGATCATTCAGGTTGTACTTTTTGTATCCGTCTGTGGTTAGCTGCTTCTTGGCCCTAAAGGTTTGTTGGCAACGACTCACACAGCACCTAAAAAAGCTGCTGAACTACTAAAGCATGCCAAGGTAGCTGTCATGGCTGCCTGTTGTAGGTCATACGTTTGTATAAAGTGTGCAACCAGTTTCATGTTTTTATAGCTGAGTTTCCTCATTCAGCTGCTGCCCTAAAATATGGTAGAGAATCATCACTACGGATAACAGCTCAGAAGTATGAAGTTACTGCAAGAGAGGGTGAGCTCAGACGGTTTATTTCATACTTTAAAATAAGCCTTCTAAAAATGATATACTTATCTGGGGGAGTCATGAAGCAAGGCTCCAAAACGTCTCTGCCACATGGAACTTGAAAAAGTTGCCGCAGCTTTCCAAAGGAGGAATCAGATGATGGTGAAAGCACCTTCACTTTTAGCCATCACAATCTCTGCCCCTGCAACTCTTTGCAATGTACATAAAGGGGGACTTTATATTAGTTTTAGATATAAGATAAGATATTATTTTCCCCACCTGCCCTCAGTTTATTTGTTTTCTTCACACAGGTATTAGAGTGGTCTGGTTGGACTGCATTGAGAACATCTCCCTGGTCACGACATGCAAACAGCGCCGCTCCCCGGACAGCCTCCAACATTTTATTCTGATGAAGTCATCCTCCCTGAGGCCAAAGTATAGCAGCCTAACAAAATACTTCGTTAAAATACTACAATACTACAATACAAAATACTTTGACAGCTCATGTGAGAATCAGAGGCTAAAAAGAGCAGAGATAAGATTTCATAAAAAAGAAAAATCTTCTCATAAAAAATGAACTTTGGGATTTTTGCACCGCCACAGTTCTGCGGAGTCCTGCTGAAAGGTGGTTGTGCAACCAGACACACACGTGGTCGTACCTGGGCACAGTGGAAGATTGAAGTTTGCAGTCAACCCTTATGGGAAATACACAAACGGTTTGAAATATCTGGAGTTGTTCATTTATTTTTTATATTTTTAAAAATATGTATGCATGTATTACTTAATAATCTATATTTAGAATGTTGTTCATACTCTATAGATTAATGCAGCTAGAATGTAGAACCTTTTCATTGTGCAAATGTTGCAAACTTAATTTCTTCAATAGTTAAACATTGCAAGACACAGTTAAAGATTATTGACAGAGGCTGGACAAAGATGACTCAAATGTTGTACACACACACACAAAACAATTTTGTAACTACTGGCAGGGAACCTTTGATAGGAATGGATCTATAGTGGATTCTGACCCTTGACCTTTTCTATACCATGCAACAGATACTTTCCCTAGGGGGGCAATCAACTTTATTTCATCACTTTACGTTGTGGCCCTTTTAAATCAGTACATTCCTGAGTTAGACATGCCAGAAGCACAACACTTACATATCATAATGTATCAAATTATCAGGAGCCAACTGAGCGATCAAAAATGCATAACAAAATATAACAATTCAAATATGATCTATTAGGATTCATTAAGCCATCTCACTATTAAAATGGAAAGCTCCACCTTGAACAGACGTTGAGTAAATGTTGGCACACCGTGCTAATAATAAGAGTCTACCACAGCAAATAACAACATTCCCAGTTGGACTAACGTGTGAAAAGTAAAATGTTTACCTCGGGCCCCAAATCTTAAAATTTGGTTCTGTAAAGCACTCAGCGGTCAGAAATATCGGTGAAATAGGCCTAGCTGAGGAAAGTTCCAAATAGGTGCATTAGTAGTTTGCTTTGATACAACAACCACAGTTATAAAGTACAGGCTCACCCACCAAGTGAAAAGTAGACTCTTATAAGACTCTAATAAGATACTTAAAATGTGTCTCAAAGTAAAGCATTATTAATCAATAACTGTGAGGCGCAATGCATATTTCAAAGCTCAAATGTTATACTGTCTATAAAGTTCAGACTCTAGACGAATGACGTCAGCAGGAGGAAGCCCCACCCCTCGGTTCTCTCCCCGCGCAGTGTCGTCAAAGATCGCGTATGCTTAAGAAGATGTTGATCACCAGAAGATGGAACCGGAAACATTATTGTTTTATCATCGGCCACGCGTTGTATAGAGTGTTAAACCTGTGTATTTCTTTCGTGGGGAAGTTATAAAACGTCTCTCTTTTTTAGACGCGTTACTGGGAAAGCTGCGTGAATGACACGTGACTCTTCCTATTCTCTGACTCCGACATTTCTATCACAGGGAGAGCTCCTCCTTTTTGTCTCCTCTCTGATCCCCTCCATGCTCTGTTCCCGGTTTCTTGTTGTGATGCTACATTGACGCCTTTTACACCGTTTGTGTCTTTCTGCAAGTGTATTCACCACAATTTTATACGACCAAGCTCCGTCAGCATCACTGTAAACATGGCCGGAGTCATCCGGAGGCTCGACGAGACTGTTGTCAACCGGATCGCTGCAGGAGAGGTCATCCAGCGCCCGGCCAACGCCGTCAAAGAAATGATTGAAAACTGGTAACTCACTAACTAGCTAACGTTACATAGCACAGTTACGTTCAAAAACGTAGGCCTGCGTCAGGCGTTTGATAAGTGGCTTTAAAACACCTGCAGTGTAACGTGGCAGGAGATACCTGGTTACCTAGGGCCCACGTGTTACGTCACTCTCACAACCCTTGACTTGAAAGGCACCATGTCTGTGTAGTGGCTCACTTTTATTGTGTCTTCCAGTTTGGACGCCAAGTCCACCAACATCCAGGTGACGGTGAAAGACGGCGGACTGAAGCTGCTCCAGATCCAGGACAACGGAACTGGCATCCGGGTGGGTGACGAGGGCAATGGGGGCGGGGTCCATCGGAAGTGTCCGTCAGGCATGTTTTCCCCTTTGTGATGACTGTAGAGTTTAAGTCAAGAGACAACAGAAATAACCCTGTGTATCCAGTCTCAATTCAGTCTGCTGCCCCCGGTTCAGTGTTTTGTTTCCCTACTGCTGAGGGGGTGTGCGGGTCTCCCTGCGCCAACATCTTTTAACCACCTCTGATCCGTCTGTCTGGCAGAGAGAAGATATGGACATTGTTTGTGAGAGGTTTACCACCAGCAAGCTCCAGACGTTTGAGGACCTCTCAGCTATTGCGACCTACGGATTCAGAGGAGAGGTAGAGCAGCATCCTTCGTGTTATTACACGGGGACGTCCATTTTTCTATGCGAGTACGTCACAGTGGTTGTCTGTTCTTGTTTTCAGGCCCTTGCTAGTGTGAGCCATGTTGCCCATGTGACCATAACGACTAAAACAGCCGACGCAAAGTGCGCCCACAGGTATGCTACCGTTTGAAGCGCTTCCATCGTCTCCAGGAGAGTAAAAGCACATTATAATGGATGGAATTAAGCAGGTGGGTAGAGCTCCTGTGACCTGATCCATTGTCTGCAGAGCGAGCTACAGCGACGGCAAACTGAAAGCGCCCCCCAAAGCATGTGCCGGCAACCAGGGAACCCAGATCCTCGTGAGTTGTGGAGCGCGTCAACTTTTCCAGATTGAAGTCCGTGGAGTGCCAGAGAGACGTGAACACAGTGTGCGCTCCCTGCCTGCAGGTGGAGGACCTCTTCTACAATGTGTCCACCAGGCGGAAAGCCTTAAAGAGCCCCAGTGATGAGTACTCCAGGATTGTAGAAGTGGTCAGCAGGTCTGTGGTCTCCGCTTTGCCATTTTTGTCTCTTGATTCCTGCTCGTTGGATGAGTATCATTGTGTTTGGATGACTCACATTGTAATGTTATTTTGAAGGTACGCCATACATAATTCAGGGAAAAGTTTTTCGGTCAAAAAGGTGAGATGTGCGTCTTTTAAAAAAATAAAAAATTCTTAGCGTTTCTTAAGGACGACCAATGACTTCACAACACAATAAATAATCTCCCAATTATGGATAAGGCTGCACAGAATGACTCTTTCTTCCAGCAAGGAGAGACCGTGGCGGACGTGAGGACTCTTCCCAACGCCTCCGTAGTAGATAATATTCGGGGAGTTTTTGGAAATGCAGTCAGCAGGTAATAATCAACGAGAGGGAAGCAGATGCACTGAGGTGCTCTCTGGCGTCACGTGACCTCTGTGGCCCGTTCCCAGGGAGCTGATCCAGGTCGGCTGCGAGGATCAGAAGCTTGCTTACAAGATGAAGGGCTACATCTCCAACGCAAATTACTCCGTAAAGAAATGCATCCTGGTGCTCTTCATCAACCGTACGTGTCGCGGAAAGTCTCACAAAAACGTGGCTCGCCGGTGCAGAGGTTTTAACGTTGATGAACCGTTGTGTTCTGCCTCAGATCGCCTGGTGGAGTCGAGTGCACTGAAGAAGGCAATCGAGACGGTTTACGCCGCGTACCTCCCCAAGAACTCGCACCCTTTTCTGTACCTCAGGTGAGTCCACGCGCATGCCTCCTGTTTGTCCATATCGTCTGCGGCAGCCTGATTTAATTTGACATCCACCCGCTTGCGTTCCGATGCCCACAGTTTGGAGATCGCGCCGCAGAACGTCGACGTCAACGTCCATCCCACAAAACACGAGGTGCACTTCTTGCACGAAGACAGTGTCATTGAGAGCGTCCAGAAGCACGTGGAGAGCAAGCTGCTTGGCTCCAACTCCTCACGCACGTACTTCACTCAGGTATCTGTCCAAGTAGTCCGGCATCGTCGCCGCGGCAATAGATCGGACCTCTGTCGTTTTTAGCTCTGGTCAAATGTTTGCAAAATGGATACAGTGTAAATCTCCGGATGGACCCAGAGAAAAACTTGAATTTCAACACACACACACACACACACACACACACACAACATGTGTTTTTGTGCAGACGTTGCTGCCGGGTCTGTCAGGTGGCGGCGAGGTCAAGTCCCCCGGCGGCGGCGGCGAGCCCGGTGAGCGAGTCTACGCACACCAGATGGTGAGGACCGACTGTCGCGCGCAGAAGCTGGACGCCTTCCTCCGGCCGAAGGAGACGGCGCCGCGCGACCCCGACGCAGCCGGGCCCAGCGGCGGTGAGGCGGCCCGGACCGGCGGCGCGGAGATGGACGAGTCGGACGACGCGGACATGCTGGCGGCCCTGGCCGAGCAGGAAGCGGAGCGGCCAAAGGGTAACCAGGGCGACGCTCAAAGGTAAAAACTGAATCATCCTGGCTGCATTGGGTGTGCCAGTAGAGACTAGACGGGACAGCACAAGTCTGGGTGTAGGAGCAACCCATTAACGCTAGCAAGTCATACCGACGGGCAGGGCATGAGTCGAGCGAGAGGGCGGGAAGAATGCAATAGTTACCATGTTTCATCACTCATGAGTGACGTCACCTTTTTTAAATCCGCGGGTAACAAAGTAGCAAGTAGCAGTGTTCAAAGTTTACAATTTTACATGAGGAACCCTCCTGAGAAAGCTAATTGTTTAAGTTTAGGCAATAAAAAAGCCCCACATCAGTCCAGCTTTCGGCAAAAGGTTTACGTAAAGTGAAGAAAAGTCCAGGAGCTGCTGAATGTGTGATCTGGTCAAGTCTCTCTAACTTAATCATAAACTTGCCATATGGTCATTTAATTAGGTTAGAGAGATTGGCAAAGATTGACCAGATCACACATCCAGCAGTGGCTGTGCAACAGGAGCACTTAATCGGAGTGGCCTTCTGATGAATTCTATTCATGCTCTCCTTAGACAGACTTTTGTTTTTGAACAGCTACTGAGAGAAATATCTGGGTCTTAAGCTCCTGGACTTTTCATCACTTTACGTAAACCTTTTGCAAAAAGTCCAGTTTACTGGTCTGAATATATCTCTTCTGCCCCTCTGTGGCGAAAAAGAAAATCTCATGCTGCTTAAACTGGTCGGTGAATAAGCGCTTACACATGTTCATAGGTTGTGTGAGTTACTGTGTGTGTGTCGGTGTGTGTGTGCGCGCGCCAGGAAGCGACCCAGGAAAGCGCAGCAGACGGAGGAAGAAGTCCACGAGGACCTGACAGCTGCTGCCACGCCCAAGAGACGGGTCATAAAACTGACCAGCATCAAAGAGCTCCGAGCGGAGGTCACCGAGAACGCACACAAAGGTACTAACAGAACTCTCTTCTCCATTATTAGTTATGCTACCTTTTGTTACTTATTGGTCATTCATCAACTCGTCAGCATAATCTACAACTCAAAATAAATCAAATAGGCTTCCGTTTTGTTTTTCCTTCACTGGAGTTTGTACTTTTACCTCCAGGGCTTCAAGAAATGCTGCAGAACCACTCGTTCGTGGGCTGCGTGGACCCACAGTGGACCCTGATCCAGCATCACACCAAACTGTACCTGCTGAACACCACTAGGCTCAGGTCAGCGCTGAGCCCCTCCACGTGGTCGTGGTCCCGGCCCGCTGCTCCACGTCCCGCTTGACTCTTGTTTGTTTCTGCTGCAGCCAGGAGCTCTTCTACCAAATACTCATCTACGACTTTGGGAACTTCGGCGTACTGCGGCTGTCGGTAAGTCGAGTGTCTTTTGGGGAGTGTTTGCAAACGCTGCACAGGGGGGATTCTCTTCTTGCGGCTGATCATGTGCATTCAGACACCAGCGCCGCTTTATGACCTCGCCATGCTGGCTCTGGACTCTGAGGAGAGCGGCTGGACCGAAGAGGACGGTCCTAAAGAAGGCCTGGCCCAGTACATAGTGGACTTCCTGAAGAAAAAAACGGAGATGCTCGAGGACTATTTCTCCATAGAGATAGACCAGGTCGGTTGGGACATGGTGCAGTTTGTCTTTTAGTCAGCCCGTCTGACCAAATCTGGACGGGAGTTGTTTTTGGTCGTGCTGTAAACCTGACGTTTGTGCATTGTAGGACGGGAACCTAACGGGGCTTCCGTTACTGCTCGACGCGTACACGCCGATCATGGAGGGTCTCCCCATGCTCATCCTGCGCATGGCCACCGAGGTGAACCTCTCTCCTCACTTATCACCGGACCAAACAAACCGTTCCTGAAGGCTCACGCTTGTTTTGCAGGTGAACTGGGACAATGAAAAAGATTGCTTCAGAGAATTAAGCAAGGAGTGCAGCATGTTCTTTTCCATCAGGAGGCGCTACGTTCTTGAGGCGGAGCAGGTGGGAAGGGGAACCAGACGAACTTCAGCTTCCTTTACATTTGCGAAGATGAGGCAGCGGTGTGATGTTGTGACTCGTTTCAGGATGCCGAGGGGAACTCGTGGCGCTGGAAGCTCGAGCACGTCATTTGCAAAGCTTTGCGAAGCCTCTTGAGTCCGCCGAAAAGCTTCAGCGAGGACGGCACCGTGCTGCAGATCGCCAACTTACCCGATCTCTACAAAGTGTTCGAGAGGTGCTGAACCCGACCACACGTGCTGCTCTGTTGCTTTTGTTTTGTGAATAAATACTATACAGTCATACAGAGGTTTGTCTTTGAGGGAAAAACACTTCAGATGTGCTTTTTAAATGTGCCAAGGCTATGTGGGGTTTTCCAAAAGTAAGAAGTGGAATGTGCCGCTAGGAAAAATAGGAATTGGGTCACGAGTCCCATTACGAAAGCGAAAACGTGCCAGCACGCTTGCTCCGTGCTCCTCGTCAGCGTAAAACATAAGTGGGCAGTTTGGAGGAATCAGAGCTCCGTGTGGAGGGAAGGAACACCTGCATTAATGTTTACAAATATAAGCATGGAAACCTCTATGACCAAATGAAGGCACATTTATTTCCATGACTTATGCTATAGAAACTGGGTCTCTTTTTTTCCAGTCACATAACTAAACTAAAACCAGAGTTTAAATGTGAAAACGCTGTGTCTTTTCCTCAACTAATTCAGACCGTGCACAGTGAGATTTAATACTAGAATTTAATACAGATGCTCCAGAAACCAAGGTGCTATATGAAGAATCATGACACGGATTAAAATAAACTATTGAAGAAAAAAATGACAGATTTTCGACAAAGTTCTGTAAATTACACATTTATTTTCAAGAACTCTTTTAAATATTTCAAAAAAATCAATGAAACCGCAGCAGAAACAGTTGGTTTTACACATTTTTCAAAACATCATTCTGTACCTTGTTAAAAACGATATTCGCTTCGTTGAGCGGTGCGAACCCCCAGTCTCCTAGTGTGAAAAGGCACTTCACTGTGAGGGGAAGCTGGGAAGGTGCAAGGCCGGAGCAGCCGTGACAGTTTAATAGTTAAAAAGCATCATTATACTCATTCATGCAACTTATCAAAAAAACAAAAACAGTACAGCCAAGCACCCGGACAGAGAGGAACTCTCACGGATAACTTGATGTAGTACAAAGCTCTCAGAAATGAAGCGGTGACTAGAGAAACTTCCTCAGATGCATCTCCCATTAACTTTATAGTTTTATTTAGTTAAGCCATCCCTCCAAAAACACCACCTGACCAAAAACCAAAAAAAAGAGACACAGTTCAGTTTGTTGCCTGTGCTACAATTTCTTTTCTTAAAGAGTTTTTGGTTAGCTACGATTTCTTAAAGTGTTACAGCTAAAAATGGAAATGCGCTCCAGACGCAGTATGGCGGTCAGAGGTCTGAGGTGCGAGTTTTAAGGGCTTCTGTGGTGACGCTGCCTTGCCTCACTGCTGCGACAGGAGGGCGTTTCTGTTGGCCTTCATCTTCTCAAGGCGCTTTACAAGATGGTTGTTGGTCATCTCCATCTCATCGATCTTATCCAGGGCTGTGCGCAGCTGTGAGGGAGCAGAGAGGACAAGTTGTTGTGAGGTGTTTCACTTGGCCTGGACACACCCATTGAGATGGTCGTTTCCATGGTGCCCTGGTCCTAACCCGCTACACAGACTCCACCTGCACTCTACGGGCATGCTTTATAGGTTGCACGTGCTGAATTAGTGGGCGAATGCATCCTCATGATTGGAGGAGAGGATCAGCAATCAGTCCAGTAGAGGAAGTGCTTATGAAAAAATCCTCCCAATTTAGAAGCAGATAAATGCCGCCATAATCAACAAAAATGATTAATAATAAACAAGATCAAAGTCTACAACAATGCTTTGGATGATATTAATGAGACAGCTTGTAAAACAAAGGCAGAAGCTGTTCTATATACTGAGGTCACTGACACTGACATAACATAATTATAATTATGAACTTGATGAAAAATGAATTGTAATTCCTAATCAGACACAAACAAAGCTGACGGTAAACCGGAAAATGGGCGCTAATCATTTAAAATCTCTGTTATAATAATAATAATCCACATCATAGGAACACACTAAGCGAAGAGACATTTTTGATTGATTTGATTGATTGAGATTAGTGAACATATCTTTGAAACAATCAGACATTGGATTCTCTCAATCAGGCCAGAGATGTATTACACTAAGCAGTGTATTGCTCACTTCTACTCATGAAAACCCTGTAGACACGTTAGGTGCTTTTCTAACAGAAGTATATTTTGTAAAGTATGTTTACAAAGTAGAAGTTAGAATATTTATTGTAAATCTCAATATAAAAATTTATGTAATCAAAACCAAAGCTATTTGCACCTGGCAGCCCTGTTTAACCTACGTTGATATAGCACAACAAGTTATTATAAGAGGCAACAGCAAGTTAACGTTTTCTAAATCGTTTTTCTTTTTTTCTGAACAGGTAGCAGCAGGAAAATGTTTCTTTATCAGGGAGCAGCACACACAGTCTCTGTTCAGGGGTGTGCGATTTGTTATAAATGTATGTTGAAACATTGACGTTCATAATTCTTGTTGATGTTTATAAGAGGCAGTACATGGAGGGACTTAAGACCCAGGGGGGATTTAGGTGAAGGAAACAACCTGGGGGGAATGGCATGGCTGGCTCTCATTGGTTCGCACGCGTGATGACGCCCCTCCCAAGCAAATACTGATCAACATCCCCCTCCTGTGACCTGGGGTTTGTCTGTATGTGCACTTTGAATATAATAATAGTTCTTAAAAACTGCGTTGACATAAATTAATACAAAGTAATTGTTTGCGTTAATGAATGAATGCGTTAACGTGCTCAGCACTATGAATGACATACGATTATTTAGTTTGTTTAAGAAAAGCACGAGGTAGACATTGTTCTAGAGAAAAGGAAACCTTAAACGACTTCTGTTGTGATCTGGCACTATACATTATTAACTTGACCTTCAAGGGAGGGGTGTTTACCTCTCGTTGAAGTTTCCGTTTTTCAGCTTTAAGTTCGTCTTCTACTTTCTCCGAGCTGTCTGCTGACGACTTGTACCTGGACACTTGCCCTTCAAGTCTGTTGATCTGGGAAATGGACACAGAAAGAGTTCACTTTGGTGACTGGGAACCCAAAAATGTACTCAACATGTCATTTAGTTCGGCGAGACATTTTGACTTACATTTTGTTCCATTGTACCCATTTCCTGTTCTGCCTTGGAAAGCTTGAATTTATATTCACTAATCTGTCTGTTGGCATCTCCTACAAAGAAAACACAGAAACCAGTGAGTTTGAAAATAAGTGTTTAAACAATCTGTGAGCAGATGGATAATCAAAAGGCCAACTTACTCTGCATCTCAATAACGTGCAGGTCTGTACCGTTTTCCATCCTCTCCCCGTCTGTGCACGCACTGTCCATCTTTGTGTGTTTCTGTCTCTCCTCCTCCAGCTGATTCTTCAGCTTCCTGATCTGAGCCAGCAGTTCGTCTTTCTCCTCGGCCAACTTCCGTAGCCTGACATCTAGAAGACGCGTGGAAAATACATTAAGCTGATGCAATTTACTGTAACATGACTGCTGAGACTGTTGATCCTACAAAGTGTTGAAAGTGTGTGACGTTGTTGGAAGGCGCTGAAATGTAACAAGGTTTTTTTTTTTCCTATTCCAAGCGTTGCTGTTTATATAAAACACATCCCATCCCATTGTTTTTTTTTATGACTTGTGGACACAGAAGCAGCATTTCCCGACTCACCCAGCGGGCCCTCTCCTGCAGACTCCAGCACCTGGGCGGCCTCCTGGGAGACCACGGTGATCCCTGAAGACAGAGGCTCATGGTTGACGTCTCCATTGGGAGTGCCGTCCGGGATGATGACCAGCCCGTGTTTCTGTGGGGAGAGAGAGCATGTTAGGGAGGACCGGCGGCACTCTCTCTGTTGCTCACAGAACTGAGGGCATGCACCGGTTTCACTGGCTCATACACAGCAACCGCTGTGAATGGAAAAAACCTCAAAACTAGAAAATGTAAAAGGCCAAATGAACAGTAAGATGTCTGTAGATGTTAAAATGTAGGAATGCAGCATTTACATTATTGGTTGTTGGGCAATAAGCAAGATTGTTATATTTTACACAAGTTAGGTAAAAGACTCAAAATCTACGACAAGGAACAGATGTAGATGGTATATATATATATCTATATATATATATATATATAGATATATATATATATATATATAGATATGATATATATGTGAAATATGAAGCTTAACATTGGGGGCCTAGTTGAATTAACCAAACCCTGACGTTCTTATTCTAAAGCTTGTCTAAATGGTCAGAAAACGCTTTGGAATCTCTTGTACAAGCATTTGCAAAACATCTCTTTGGTAGGTTTACAATGTGAACACACAAAAGCTCACGCAGACTTCCGTGAGTTTGCCAACGACAGCTATGTGCAGTCACATTACATGCACACCTATTGTAAAAAACCAATAGTTTGATTGCATTACATGTAATTTAGCTGACGCTTTTGTCCAAGGTGACTTTCAATATTTTCAACCAAAAGAACACGAAAGTGCAATTTCATCAAATAAGCCGATTTACAACTCGCTACAAATAAGAGCCATTAGAAGTACAATTAGAGCGCTACAATTTGTTCTTTTTTAGTCAAGGTAAAGTCTGAAGAGTGTGTCTTTAGTTTGCAGCAGAAGATTTAAAGAGTCTCTGCGGTCCTGCGAGCTCATTCCACCATTTAGGAGCCAGGAGAGCGAATAGTACTATGTACACTATAGTCACGGTCAAGTGCATGTACCAAATGAGTAACGGAAAACCAGAGGGAAGGGAATAGTTGTCAGGAATATGAGATGGCAAAACAAAAACAATGAGGTAACAAGTGAAACCCAATACCAGGTATTATGGCATTAACTGGCTTAGTTCCAACCAAAAGGAAAAGCATAAAAAGCAGATTTGGGACAACAACTCACTCCTGTGACCTGGTACAGCCTGCTGGGACTTTAGACCTACCTCTCCGGCTTTGGCCTTCCCCTTGATGTCAGCAAGCTCATCTCTGAGCTCGTCTCTCTCATTCCTAATGCAATCAAAGTACTCTTTCTGTCTCTCTAGGGCCTGGCCACACGGACGAGGAGAGAAAGGAGAGTGGAGAAGAGACAGAGGAGAAGATTGATCCACTGTGGGCAGACATGCAACACCACACACTACAGCAGGACATCTCATGCACAAACATGAACCCACTAAGCACATCAAACCAACAAAGAACACACCCATATGGGTGGGGGGATACGTCTCCACGTACGATGCTTTCATCACTCAGTCTGACTTCATGACCTAACAAATCAACTGATCCACAGGTGGAACATGCACGTCATGCTGAAACCTTTTCTACTTTTTAAGTGGGCACATGAACCTAAACAAATAAAAAACTATTATTATAGTGGCCCACTGCAGACTTCAACATCTGTGCACTTGCATTGTTAGCAGAGGTCACGGGATCCAAACCCTGTTATTTTGACATGCAAAAATGTATTGTGCCCAAGTAATGCTTAAAAGGGTCTCCCACATGCAGAGACCACATGAAAGGCAATAGTGGTGAATGCACAATCATCCGTTGCCTTCCATGTTCTGTCAGAGCACCCCATGTGGGACCTCCTACCCCGATCTTTTTGTCCTTCCAGTTTATAGTTTCTTGTAGGTCAAACGCCTCTCTGGTGAGGGCATCTAACTTAGTCTGCATTCGCTGGCTCTCCTGGAGCGGCGTAGAGAGCAGTGACAACACAGCAGTACATGAACGAGAGCAGGACAGGAATGGTTGAATGGAACAAAGACAAAAGAAGAGAAACTGCAGATACACAAATGAGAGATGGGCACCGGTGCAACACGGCGAGAAGGGACCAATATGAAGAGACTCTTCTGAGAAATAAATGAATGAGTCAGATAGGACGATGAAAGGAAGCTAAAAGGTCAGAAGAGATTGGCCGGGAGCCAATCAACTCTTATCAAGTCCCTGCAGAACAGAGCCTCCTCTGCAGCCTGCACAGAGGCACAAACACCTTTCACGGTGTTGACAGAATAGCTGATGTGCTCACTCTGGCACAAACCTAATGCGAGAGCAGCCGTACCTCTATAAGCTCATCTCTCTGGCGAAGTCCCTCTTTCAGCTCTTCTTGTTTATGCTGCAGGACTGTACACGTGTGCTTTTGTCTTTCTAGTTCCTGAAACCATGAGCACAACATTGACATACATCTTTAGCATTTTTACGTGCATGAAATGAATGTTCTGACATGTGGTTTAACACTAGAATAAGCTTCAGAACTTGGACTATCGTAGACTGCACCTTTGTCTTGTCCTCCAGCTCTCTCTTCATCTCAGCCGTCTGTTCCTCCATCTCCTCTATGACGTCCTTTAGTGTGTCCACTTGATAGATGAGGTTGCCTTTGTCGTTGTCCAGCTGTGCATTCGATACCATGGCTTTCTTATACTTCTCCTCCACCTCGGCAAGTGATTCCTGATGTAGGTGGGGGAGTGTTAATAAACAGAGTAAATTGGTTTGAAGCGCCGCTCACCTACATGCACCAGCGGGGCTTACTCTCTTGTATGAGATGAATTATTTTAAGAGGCATTGGCCAAACATACTTCACAGTACAGATGACTTTTTTATATATTGATGTTATAAAGATTAAGTAAAAGTATAATTGTGTACCAACTTTTCGTGGGATCTTTAAAACAGGTTGTGCACGTTACGTAATCATTTAAATGTGTAAAATCACTGAGTCAGGAGTGAAACAGGGCGATGTGGTGCAAAGGGGATCTAAAGAGAACTACAAGTGATAAGTAATCGTGTGCATCGGCGGTATCACATTCCACCAAGAACAATAAGGGAAGAGGGCTTGTTACTGAGCTACTCATATTGAAACAACATACAGCGCTCCGCCTGAAAGAGCGAGAAACCACTGGAAGGGACTGCAGAGGTCAGCCAACATTGTGGGTGGCAGCACAGCTTCCAAACTGAAAGAGTGACCATTAGCTGTCAGTAGGTGGCGCATTTGAATTTTTCTTCTTGAAATTTACAGACAGGTCAAACGTTGGAATGACGCGACTTCAGAACACACGTCGGAAACAACAGGAAAGTGAGGGAAGATCGTGCAAAGGAACGACTTTAGGCAATTCACTCAGGGAGCATGCAAAGACATTATATATGAGTGGGGAAGGGGCGGGGGAGTGGGGGGGCGTTAGTGACGCTACATTGCTCTCAGGGAAGAGGAGAAGGCATGCTGTGAGCTCAAGCCCCTCTACCTTCAGCTCTTTAAGCCCTTGCATGTACCGCCCTTCTACATCCTGAATCTGGTCCTTTAGTTCATAGATATCCTGTAGAGCAGATAAAAAGGAATGGTTGGGGTCAACTCGGGGGGCATCGGGGGGGGAGTTTCAAGGGACAGATAACAAAGCACCCGTGCTGCCGTGGAAAGACAATCTCAGCTGGCGTGCACCTTGACCGGGGAACCCGAGTTGAAAGGGGAACAGCTTTACAGGACACATGTCAAGTCCATGAAGGAAAAACAGTTAAAGCAGACACCAAGAACAGCAGGGAGGGCACAACCGAGAGAAAGCTGTGGAAGGCTTATCTGCAGAGGACACATGGACTAGCAACTGATACCATAACTATGATGCCGGGCTGACGGACATCTGCCACAGCTACGAATGAATTCATATGTGAGCCTCTTTTCATTAAACCGACAGAAGTGGGAGGCTGTGTGCGTCGTAGACCTTACCCTAAGTTCACTTAGACTGGTGTCGGGGTCGTAGATACTGCCCGTGTCTGCGCTGCCCCGCCGTGACGAGGTGCCCCCTAGCGATGCCAACGTGGCAGCCGAGAGGCCCGGGGTGGTACATCGGGAAGACGGCTGAGAACACAAAGCACCACAGAGCTCCGGTCAGAAAACCGGGGCGGCACAACTCTGCCAAGGTTATTCAACACCATCACCCGATATCGCAGGGCCCTCATGAGGTCCCGATCCCGATTCAAATCCTCCCGATGGAGGCAGAGTCACCGTTGAGTGACGCAGGGTATTTTATAAACATCACAAACTAGCTGGCCATCTCCACAGAAAGGCATTCTAATGGTGGTTGATGCCTAATACGGCATAGAAATGCACTTGGTGTTCAGCGTGATTAAACCTACTGATGCTGCATTGAAGAATTTAAATGAACAGAAGTCAAAACACAAAAAAGAAACGATGCACTCACCCGACTAAAATCTGTGTACTGCTTGTCACATTTTTCATCCAGCTGTAATGAAAGAGAAGACACACTTTAAAAAGAGATCACCGCTAATTAGACGACAACCCATGCGGTGATGTCATGCTCGGGAGTCCTTTCCTGGTCTGTAAATCAAGGAGTTAGTCCAGGAGAAGTGCTGCATGATGACAAAGTACAGAGAACTGACGAGCAAAGGAAGCACTGAGTGAATCCCACCACTCTGTTAAAGAAGGTGTTTCCGTCATGCTGCTGACCGCTGCAGCAAAGTCACTCAACGTCAATAAAAAACACACACCGGGGGATGAGTTTTGAAAAACCAAATGTTATTCCTTTGACCATGCATCATTGGGGTTGCACATCACCCGCCACAACAGACTTACAGCGTCCAAATCCGGAATGCTCAAATCATCGAGGTCAGACACAACACTGCCTCTCCGGCTGGTGCGGCTGAAATAATCAGCAGCCGACTCACTAATGTCGGAGAAGTCAGACGACTGCTCACGACACAGAGGAAGAGGATAGGAGGTATAGGCAGAGAAATAAAGAAGAACACAGCGTCAGTGAGGAAAGCAAGGAAACACACAGAGGAAAGCACTGGTCAAGGACAGGGACTTCAAATGGCATTGCTCTTGTGTCAGTACGACAGAATAAAAAAAAAAAGATAAAAAAGTTTGCACAGTGTTGTTGGTTACTGGGATCGGTTTAGATTGGGGGGAGCCCAGTCCCTGCAGCTCACCACACTGTCCCTGCGGCCTCTGCCGAAGCGTTCCTGGGACACGCTGCTGACAGTGTCATCATCAGAGGAGGACTGGGAGGAATACGCACATACATATAAACACACACACACACACACACACACACACACGAGATGAGGAGTCAGATTAATGTAGGATGGATACATGCCAGCAGCAGACCCTGTAGTGAACTGATTATTCGATCACGCTAAGAATCACACACACTATACGGCATGTTTAATCATGCAATTATCAACATGTTGTCAAGTACGACAACTGGAGTTTAGTTTAATAAGACAATCTAAAACCTCTAAGCCTGTACAGCGCCGTAGCAGAACTCCTTAAGACACACACACACACACACACACGTTAATGTCCAACAACATGGCTCCCTAAGGGAGTACCAGAGGGCCCAAGCTGTGGCCAGTCTGGTACTGGTGATCAACATTCTCCCAGGGAGGGGGAGGCCTGGTGGTGAGAGGGGGCGAGGGGCAGCTTGTTAAATAGCAACGGTCCGTGTGTGTGGTGTTTTGTGACATCATGCGGTGGTTTAAGGTGCTCACCACAGGGCTGCTGTGGGTGGAGCCGGCTCCAGAGTACAAGCTGTATTCAGAGGGCTGTGGATGGGTGGAGGAGGAGGACAGCACAAGGGATCAGTTAGCTGCTGTGGTGGTGGTGGTGGTGGGGATATTGCTTAGACGCGGTTTGACAAACATTCCGAAGACTTACAGCTCTTGAACTGTACCCTGAGCCGCAAAGGCCGGTGTCGTCGCAGAGAGAGGCCTGAGGGCACATGTGGGAGACAAGGCAGGACTCAGCAAAACGCACAGGGCAGTACGGCCCATTGAGCAGAGCCGACGCACAGTCTCCGGCCAAGCAACAAAATAACACTCTGTATTTCAAACATGAAGTAGGGCATTTCTTTCAGCCCTCTACAACAACAGCCACACACCTCTGCCTCATCTAACCGAAGCACCGATCTCAGGCTGAGGCCGAATGCCCGGTAGCTAAATACAAGCAGTCCTGTGTGCCCCGGGCATCCGATCAGACATGTGTGGCCAGCAGACGTGGAATGTCTACTTCTGAAGGGAACATGAGGCATGCAGGGAGATGTTGGGGCCACTCGAGTCACAGAGAACTGACCATGCTGTAGCTGCGAGGCAGCGCCGCGCCCACGGTGGAGGACGAGGAAGTGGTGGCCTGTCGGAGAGGAGGGGAGCCGGGAAGTGGCCGTTTAGAGGACAGGGGAAACAGGATGAATGCTTTTGCTGAGTCTGGAACATTTAAGGTCGAAAAGGGTTGAGGAGCAGGGAGGTGAGGTGACAGTGTCCCTGTCGAATGTTTTATTACTGGTGAAGTAATAGAATCTATATAAATTCAACAGTGCTAAACTACACCTTCAAAACCAAGATTTTATCGGTAAGTCTGTTAGATTTCTAGACTAGATTTCTGTGTATAAAAAGGTTGGACAGCACTTTCAGGGGGACCGACCCGAGGCTGATAGGTGGAGGTGGAGAGAGGAGCCGTTGGTTTGGTCTTCGATAGGCTGCTGTAGGTCCTTTGATCGTGGTAAAGTCCAGTCTGGAAGGGTAGCAATGTAAATGTCACCTCAAACAAACACCGCCATAACTAACATGACCCTCGAGGATCCAACTACTATGTTTTTCCAGACACATTCAACGTGGCTCGGCAAACAACTGCGGGACGCTTCACAAGGAAACAAATAAGTAAATCTTATCGGGGGTGGGGTCGATCAGCAGTTCATCACCACCGCTACACTACCTCCATGTGAATGCTGCAGAAGAGACACAAACACTGATAGGAGTACACTGACCAGCAGGTCTTTCTTCGAGGAGCTGGAGGAGGCCCTTTTATGGCCATGCAGGTCACTGTACACAGAACTCTGTTCAAACCAGAAATCAAAGAAATGAAGAAAATCAGAACGAGACAGGCCATAGGAAAGGGAGTGACAAACAGCTGATAGCTACATCACATGGGTACATACAGTGGAGCGGGAAGTCTTGAGGGTGGAGCTAGAGGAGGGGCCATCGGACTGAAGAGAGAACAGGAGTGTCATGAATGGCGCACACGAGCAGAGCACGTTTGTGTCTCACTGACGGTGTGTTAGATCTTCAACAGGCAAAGAGGAGCGAGTCAATGCGTCGGCGGATCGAGCAAACAATGGCCAAGTGGCCCTCTGTCGATTAGGATGTGGTGAGGTATCGTTTTGTTTTTTTCAGATCAACGGGTGCAAACGCACACAGGAGCAAAGTCCTGCTGAAGTGCCTGAGTTCGAGTGTACTAGGGGACAACTGCACTAGTTACTAGCTAATATTTAACATGCTACAATGCTACATGAAATGTTTGGGTCAGGCAACCAAAACCGCTCAGTGACGCATGCCAATGTGATTCGTGGAGAGATGCAGTGTGGGAAATAAAGTCTCAGAGACACGTCTCCTCCAGTGTTTGACCCCTTCTGCCATATGTGAATCTCTGATGTGAAAAGGGTTTATCTCGAGCAGAAGTGGAGGAGACAGACTAAAGGAAAGTGGAAACATTTGAAATTGGGAAAACAGCTGCTTGCTTCCGTGCACATCCCTTCTGCTCTACACAGTTAGCCAGAAATGAACTCCAGTGACATGCAGAGAGTCCAGGCCTTCGATCAGTTGCCAAGCTGCACACACTGTGCACTCACAACGCACCAACACGTCTTTCCTACGGGAACTGGATCTACTCTTGGACCCCAAGTCACGGGCTGCCGATGATGAGGTTGACTTCAAAGTAAAAACATTAGGAGAAATCTTCACTTTGCCAACCACTTCATTCTATGCAGCCGATTAACAGTACCAAATGAAAGCATTTCACTTATATGCATTCGTTAAACAAAGACTTTCCTAACCAGAGCAGCGGTTTTCCACACATCTGTGTGAGAGACCTAATAAAAAACTGCCATGGATTCATTATGTGTTACGCACCCTGTAGCTGCGGATTGACATGACATCATCATCCAGCCCCTATTGAAGTGGAAAAACGGAGTCACAGCAGGGAAGCAGACAGAGAGGAACATGGATGATGAGACGTTGACTGCAGGATTTAAGGAGAAAAGCAAGGGGGGAAATACAGGCAGACAAAGAGGAAGTGTGGGGGGATACAGACCCGACGATGACGGCTGGTTATACTACTACTAGAGCTTCTGGCCTTTTCTGAGTCAGCCTGCAGTAAGGAAGGAAAGTAGGAAAAGATTACGGAATGAAAAGTAGAGAGGAAGGTCACTGTGACGCTCAACAGTTGCTATGGCAAAAACCAAAACATGCACACACAACTCTGGCGATCATGTTTATCACCAAATAGATCTGCAAATGTTATCCTCTTTAAGCACGGCAGCAGCAAGATTAGTGATAGACAAAAACTGGGCATTTTGCACATTTCTGTCTCATCTGTTGATTTAAAAAAAAAAAAAAAAAAATAGAAAAGGTTAACATAAGCACACCCGATGGAAATCTCTGCTAGGCTTTCTTGCATCAAAACACCAACACACTCACACACAGATCCAGTCCATGCTATGGCTGTGTGTCCACACTCAACAGCCTGCATCCTACTCGCTTGCAGACTTGCCCACCCGAAATAAAGTCAAAGGGCAAAGCAGGCTCTACAAAAACACACAGCTTACGACGTCTCCAAAGCAAACACGCCGCTGAGGCCTACTTCTACAGCGAGCTACAGAGTGGTCTGGGACGGACGGACGGTCAGACTCGACTGGGACTCAACCCCACACGACAGGCGCCGTGTTAGTGGAGCGACAGGGCGGCGAGCTGCCGCGTGCTCGCCTACCATCCACTGGTGGATCTGACCCCATTTTCTGTTGCCGCTGCTGCTGGATGTGTGGTAAGAGCGCTGCACATGAGCGGGAGAAGTGCCAGAAAAGACCAAAAACATACAATCATACTTCACTTCAAACTGCTGAAAAGTAGAACTGGGTGACATTCACTTCAGGAATAGAACTTTTGGTTTCATTTGTGGACATGCAGCACTTTCATTTTTCTCTCTGTGGGTATATGTTTGCGTGTATAGACAACCAGATTCATCTAAAAATGTATTTCAAGGCACACGGCCAAGCTGCTTCTCTGCACCAGGGAGTACGGAGGCAGAGGAGTGGCTTGCCAACACACAATCAGTTGTGGTAACCGTCCATGTTAAAGCAACAAATAACTAAATAAATAAAGGCGAAAACAATGCCTCTCTCCATATTCAATATACAGTTGATAACGGGCTGAGAGCAGCAGTTAGGGTCATTCCAAAAGAGGGGCCCACTTTGTGATTTATACCTCTTTCTGCTGCCGCTCAAGTTCCCTCATTCGAATATCCCTGGCCTCCGCCCGAGCCGCCCTCTTCGCCGCAAGCCTCGCCTCCGCCTGTAATACACAACATGAACACACTTGTCAGTTGTTACTGGAAGCTCGTAGTGCTGCCGGCCTCTGAGGACACACCTGCTGAGTGCAAGGGGAGAAAAAACAATGAAGGGAACCAACGGCACAGTAAGATCTCCAGGAGCTCGTGTTAGAGAAGTGAGCCGGCGGAGAGCACACACACGCGTTCTTCCCCGTTGATGAGCTCTATGAGGGCCCAACTGCAGGAACATTAGGCATACAAGGAATATGGCTTGGTAAATGGTGCAAAAGTAAAAACACAGCAAAATAGTCTGACTACCATTTACATTTACAATTTTGGTTAACAAAATAAGAGTTAAAAACAAATATGTTATGCAGTGTCCAGGAGTAGAAGAATTGACTTGGCGATATAGTGTCTGAGTCCGTTGGTGATTAGGTTGACTTTATGGAAGCGTTGCATGGTTACAACACTGTAGTTTATTGTTTAGATCAAACTAATTCAAATCAACTTAAAAGAAAGAAGGCATAACTCGTATAATCTAGTTGAAAGGACAGTTATGGGCATAATGTCTATAATGCATTTCTCTGCTGATAATAGTACAATTAATATTTTGAACATATAGAACATATGTTTCAGGGGGGGTAACTTTCAAACCTCATGGGGAAAGGGGTGGGGTGACTCCAACACAGACAAACCGAGAGCAAACAATGTGAGTCACAATAGTGTGTCAATACGACACGTCAGCGCCTTTTCAGAACGAGCTGTACCAAACAAGTTTGACTCAAAAGGTAGACCGGGCCAGACAGAACCCCCTCCATTGGTGAGTGTTGGGGGGGGGTCATCACACAATTTTCCCCAACCAAGTTGGAACACGAACAGGAGCTCAGCAGAATGAGTCCCCCAGGTGACCATGTATACTATCGCTCCACCGCGTCCGTAAGAGCACATTGCTGGTGGAGCACGGGCCTTTATCCCTTAACGACAGTCCATAGATACAGAGACACCAGCATGCGTTGTGTACAGTATCTCACAGCAGACAAACACTGGCAGCATTCCAGCAAGTTCTTATCTGCACTGCCAGAACAGAACGCCTGTTGGTGCTGAGGCTATTCCTGTTTCAATGCTAGGCTGGAGGGAACAAACACCAAATGCTGCTTCTTTGGGTCCACGCACCCAGTGGTACTGAAAGACCCTTGAGGCCGACGATTGGATAGACTGAAGAGCCAGGGGTTGTGACCTGTAATGAGTGAAGATCATGACCCAGAGTTTACGACAGCACAGCCAGGGTGATGATACAAAAATCTTCTATTCCACCACCACTCATAAATGTGAGCAAAGGTAAACAGTTAATTTGTCATTCTTTCGTTGTGTGAATATGCAAGATCTTCTTCTGTGAAACCAAAGCCTGAGAACGCCATTAAAAAGAAAGTTAATGCGATGTGTGACTTTTCCTATGGACTTTGGAATCTAACTGATAGCCAACCATTTAAACTTGGTACACGGTGAAAAGGGAAGCACATTTGTGCGGCTACGAGGGGAGAGCGAATGAGAAACGTGTTCTCTGCACCTGTCGCGCTGTCTGACAGTATGACCTGCTTTGCACAGCAGCACAGCTGAGCTCTCTGTCTCTGTCCTATCTATAGCCCCCGGCGCTCTGACGGCGATATCATGAGGCTGGAAGGGTAACCGGAGCAGCACAAGTTCACCATCACACACACCTACAGCAATCTGGGCAATAAGAGTGCAGCAATCCCCTCTGAGCTCATCTGGAGCGCTCCCAACAATGACTTGTGTATGCTGAGCTAAGACGCCGCTGCTCTTATGCCACTGCTAATTAGATTCAACAAAAATATTTGGGAGTTTTGCACTCTTGGGTTTAGTAAAAAAAAAAAAAATACGAAAAAGAAAACAGATGAATCAGTAATGATTATAATGAACAAAATACTATTATGTCAACAGTTTGCAGTGTCCAGAAAATAACTACATGAATTGAAATAAAAACTAGTAAAGCGGGGTACAGTATTTCCAGTTTCATTACTGTGGTCCATATTTATACATTTTTGATATAAATACTCAAATTGTTCAAAAGAATAGGTGGAAATAAGCTTACAAAAGGAAGGGCTGATATGTAAACAGAATGGTATTACGACAACAAAAAACGTGAGTGAATTTGACTAGTGTTACAAAGCCTGCATTAACAGAGGACCAAGCCGCATCAAACAGGTTTTCCTTATCAGTTCTTTACAAACCCGGGGGGGACATGGGCTTTGTCCGCTGCAGCCTGAGCAGGGACGTGCAAAGCTTTCCATTGAAATACTCACTTTTGATATCACAAAACAAAGTCATATGAACTATGAACTATAGCTTCCACAAAAACACACACCCTTTGTACATAGAGAAAAGTTAATGATTGTCTTGTTCGAGTCCCATGAGCTCCCTTAGATCCTAATCTCAGGGACAACAGGAATGAGAGGATCATCTTATTGTAACGCGTGGCCTCGGTCACATTTCTAAGCAAGCTGCTGGTGTCCAAAAAGTAACGTAGGAGACCTCAGAACTGAGCCGGGGAAGGTGGAGGCTCAAATTCAGTCATCCCCAGTCGTGATCAGCGCCAAGGGTACCGACACACCAGGCAGAAGCTGCAGTGTTTTGAAGATCTGTTTGTGGGGGCGGCGAGTTGGACACTGACCCCCTCGAGCTGCCTGCTCAGTTGATCTAATCTCTGCTTTGCTCCACAAAAAGATTCAAACTCAGAACCTGACTGGGAGGGTCGGGTGACTCATGTTTCTACTACCGGCCCGCATGACTATAAAGAGAGAAAATGGAGCCTTGCGCTTAGTGCCCCAAGAATGACGAGAAGTATTTAAATATTTAAGGAAAGCCAATTCATCGAGTGTTACATTTCTACCTGAAAAGCTTCAAAGGTAATCTTCAGACTTTTTTTCCCTTATACAAGAAAAAGTCTGACAACGGATCTTTGTATTTCATGTTGTTTGCTACCTCCCTCTAAAAAGAAAAAAAGCGGCAAAGGAATGGCAGCCCTGCAACGGAACGAAATGGAATAATCTCAAGACATGTCGTTACAGGCTTTGCAGCTTTCCTCCTCGGCCGTGTTTCCCCCCCCCATATGGAAACCTACTCAAGTCGAGTCAATCCCCCTTCGGTCCAGACCAGCTGTCTCCATTTACTTCAGCTGGGACACATTTTAACCAGCAAAACCTGAATAATTATGTATCATTTAAAATATGAATCCCATTTGCTAACACTACTCTGACCCCCATGTTTCAACGTTTCAAATCAAACACAAACTTGTTGAATGGAGAGTTTGGTAAGCGAGACAAACTAATTTACCAGCTGTATTTAAAGCAGTACTTGAAACAAATCTTATCAAACTGCAGAGATGTTTTAAGTTCACTTAATAATTAACTGCTTCTAAAAATAAAAATCCACTTATATATGCTATGTCCTTTTTAGTTGCAGTCTCAGGGTATCACTTATAATAGTAATGAATAGAATAATACCAAAAATAATCATGGTCCACTAATGTTGACCCAAATATTTAGGAAAACAAATTATCTGCACATGCTGCAGAACAAGTACTATTTATATCGAATATCTGTTAATTTGAGTTATTGCGAGTCAATTTTCAAAAATAATATATTATTCTTTTCTATAATGGTTTAAGAAAACAGAAGCAAAATCACATGTCATATTTTGAAAATGATACATTTTTTGGTGTATCTCATTATAATGATACACCGTGGACTGTAAATTCAAATGGAAATAGCCTATATTATCATTAACCTTTTCTAGGCGATAGACGTTTAGGTATTAGCTTATAAGGGTCAACCACTAAAAATCATTGATTCTAGGAAATGATTTCCTCTGCATAGTCCTTTAATATTGAATTGAAAGAGTGCTTTGATGCAACAGAAACTTTTATGCTGGATAAAACATATATGCATTGATTAAACAATAAATGGATAGCGCTACACAAGGAGATGTACAGTGTAGATCCATTCCACTCTAACCCAAATTAGAAAAACAGAATGTGTATGATGGAGGTTCAACTTACCTCCCGAGCGATGCTACTCAAAGCATCGTCCTCTGCTGAGAAGCGGTCTTTCAGGGGGGCACGCTTTCTACCACAGCCTTGTGTCCCCATGCTGCCTCTGGAATTGTTGCACCACCAATGATATGCAAGGCCACAGAATACACACAAGTGTATGTTATTGGCTACAGGGAAAAAGCAGAAACAAAAGAAACATGGTTTAATGGTGTCTAAACAAAGCAAATGTGGCGATAATTTGAACAGAAAAGCAGCTGCACACGTGAACCAACTTTAATTCCACACATGTACATAATATCCAATAATATATATCTAATGCTATTGATACAGAGGGAATCATTACAGATATACTTTTAAAAACAATCAGAAAGCATTATTGTTTACTGAAATGGTTTGCATTTGCTTGTATTATTAATATTATTCTTCATCACCAACATAATCATATATTTGACAGACATCTTGACACTATCAGTGAGATCATCTAGAGTCTAGGTGATCTCACTGATAGTGTCTAGGTTCTAGACAAAGCGCACTGTAGCTGGCTGGCAGAGGCATGGAGGGGGGGGACACGCCTAGTTTAGAACCCAGCTGAGTCAGAAGACCCAAGAGAGACATGAGCGCTCATTAAAGACGGTTGATGATCTGAACCCAGAGATCCATGATTCAAATTCAATGTCGTGACTAACTCCGAGACCCCGGCTAACAAATCAGCGACAATTCGCGTTCGCTATTCAAAAATATGATAAGTTACTGTTAGCTTGCGCTAATCAATCATCCTCCTCAGCTGAAATACTGAAACACTAACCTTTCCTCGGACAGTTTTCCACTGTCGAATGTAACATTTTATTTCCGGTACCATGGCCATTAGGAAAGGGATTGTAAGTAACGAACCTAAAGTTAAAGTTACCTCAATGCCATGTTAGCATTAGCTGGCTAATTATACTAACATTAACGTAACTCAATCTAAGGTTAGCCAACTCATCTGGAAGCTAACTAGTAGGGCTAGCGTTAACCAGCATTGCGTCCTCTCGAAATTCTTATTTAAGAGTTAGCTCACCATACCTTTTTAGTTTCTTCCTCTGCTTCTGGTGAGGCGAACAATATACAAAACCGATCCCGACCAACACATGCACTTTCCCCAGCAATGACCCCGACATGGACAACTGTCTCCGGGAGACAACGCTATGCTAGCTGATCAGTTTAGCTGGGTAGTTAGCTTGGCTAGCCAGTGCGGCTAACCTCAACTGTCCTGAGAGGCAGGCAGGGCAAACTGGGACCGATCACCCAGTCATATTCCCGACCCCAAATATACAACGTTACCTTCACAACACCTTCAAATAATCCGCGACACTACCAAGGTGTTGTCCCTTTCTCCAGGATATTTAGGAGAGAGCCATTCGGGGTCTGTTCACAGATTTGTAGTGTTTTTGTCCACACTGACAGCTGTCATCAGTCCGCCTTTCCAGCGCTTTCCACTGACCGGTGGGTAGATTCAAATGTCCCGGATGTTGGGAAAAATGAGGGTGTGATGCCGCCTTCACGAACCTTCAGACACATCGTGATGACATCTGGCAGTTAGCGATTTTCCATTGAGTGAATTTATGTCCGTTGGCTAAAACAAACAAACGAACTCTATAGGTTTTTATGCCTTGATTACTTCAAAATCTAATCAGACCGTTCACCAATTAAGCAGTCTCTGTATGAACACTGTCGAAATGCAACAGAAGCTCACCACTAAACCCAACTATAAAACCAGAAATGTGGGATAACACAACGTGAGGTTTGTTTATTTTTTTCAGGGAATTTCATTTTTTTTTCTGGCTATATATATATATATATATGGCACCTATAGTGTTTTGAACTAGATCCATTCTTTACGTTTTACTTTTAAGTTTAACGTATAACAAACATTTAATTAATTTTATCTATAATTTATTGAGTTTCCTATTCTACCCATAGTAGAGTCAGTTCAATACAGTGTTTAATTTATTAGTTTATCAATATATTTGATTACTTATTATACCTTTAATCACAAGAGGATTGCAAAACCAGTCTGCGCTGTCGACTTATTAGAAGTTGTCCACAAGAGGACAGTAGCGGATAATTAATTATTCTCGGTGTCACACTGTGCAAGAATGTAGTTCCTCCTCATATGAATGGATACACTCAAAAATAGAATTACAATATCAACAAAAATCCAGTTTGGACTGCTGGATTGTCTTTTTCTCTAGTAGTAGAAGTTGTAACATTTAAAGTTATCTATTCTGTGGAGTGTTTCGGCCAGTTAAAGTATTACAGTCGGACATTACAAATATCATGACAGGATTAAAGAAAATACAAAAATAGCTGAAATATGTTGTGTGTGATGCATTTGATTCATAAACCAACATGTTTGTTTAGTGCAGCACAGCAGTAAAACAATGCGAGCGGTACCAGCATTATGTTTTCTCTACTACGTCTAGGTGGTAAAGCACCTGTAAGTTTTTATATGACCTGCATGGGAATCCCCTGATTGACACCATGGCACAGGATACTTCCAAACAATCACACACTTGCAATCACAAACCCCCACAGCGGCTGTATCATTCTCCCTCATTATAGGACGCTAATGACTGTTTTGTCTCTGGTCACCCCTCTCTGTTACCGTGCAGACAGAGTTTACTGGAGTCTTAACCCAAAGACACCATCAGCCAAACTGTCTCCATGCAGCCACTCCTGGTAAAATTTCCATGTAGTCATCATTTTAAGCTCTAATTAACCATTGTTCACTTTCATAATAACAAAAGATCATATCTAAACTGGCAACGGATGCATAACACTTCAACTTCAATAATAGTAGTTAAAACTCTATGACCTTTTCAGTTGCAGTGCTACTGGAACAGAAAGCCCTCATGTATTAGATATTCTATCAACATACATAACATTATGAAGTCATTTTTAAAAACTGTGCGGACCTGTGACAAGAAGTCAAATTAAACATATGATTTGGGGTCTTGAATTTCAGTCGTCTAAAAAAGGAAAACATATTGGACAAGCATTCATGGTGAAAACAGGAGGCCTAAGGCATCCAGACAGTGCTTAATTGTATTTGTCTTGGTTTATGGCCCTTTTAACTCATAAAAATGTGGTTTGTTTTCCTGGCACAGACAGGCATGTACTCAGCTGCTCCAAACCTGAAAAGTCTCCACGTCTTTATCTTCAGTATCTTTGAGCTTTGTCAATTTTCTCCTCTGTCAACTCGCCTTTGACAGTTAGCGTTTTGTGTCAGTGTGAGGGATTCATATAGTTTTGGACGGCATGCACCACCGATGGTTGGAACAGCACAGTCTCAATTGTTGACTGGGATATCTTTAAGCCTGTCTCTCCACAGAAAAAAGGAGTAGAAACCATGGAGCCCCAACATGTAATTACCCCATGGAGGGCAATGCTCCCTCTCTCCATCTCCTCTAAAGGCCTTTGAAGGTGCTCCATAGGGAGTTGGTTGTAATCAGCACACATGACTCATTGATTACTCCTTTTCGGTCTTACAGGAACACAGCACAAGGAGTGGACGCAGCAGGGGGAGGGTAGGGTAGTCCTCTTAGTCCGTGCAGATCGGCGGGAGGTGCAAATGGAGTGTGAACCGCACGGCCTGAGTCTTGGACACAAAGTAGATGCTATAAACAATCAGATGTGCCTTGTTTTCCTGGTGGTTAGCTCAGTGGGTCTGTTAAACTGGCTATTCATTACTGTCTGGAGAAGGGATGAGCAGCCATATGCTCAAGGAAGGCTATAGTAGTGCAGATTTTCATTCCAGCCAAAGTCATTGGTACACCAATTAGTACAATGTTTGACAATTGTTGTGTCTTGCATGTTATACATCTGTTACAAAATATTTGCACTATATTTTTGTTACACCACTTTAATGCCGTATCAGTTAGACTGTTTGTACTTTTGTACATGGTAATACACATTCATAGGGGGAAAGAACAACAACTCATAAGAACCATATGTTTGTATATATCTTTATTCAATGGGTGCCTTTCCCCGAAACATATAATTAGTCACACAATCTGTATTTTTTCTTTCATCTCTTTTATACAATTGGAAAGTTAAGTGTTTTAACACACTTTTCTAAAAGATGTCTGAAAAAAAGATCTGCGACCCTTGATGAAAACAATGCAACTTCCTCGTATTGTGTCAAACCAAAGGCCAGAAGAACATTTGTATTTACATTGAAAGACTTGCAGAAGATTGTTAGAAGATGCTTCATTTGGCATTGAGAAAGACATTTCTGGTAAACAGGCAAAGTAAGTCGACCATAAAAGACATCATAAAGGACGTCTTTTAATGTCTCTGGACTTGCACTCTGGACACCTGTGGGGTTGAACCCATTGACTGGACATCCTATGTTGACATGTTGAGTAGAAGTAATTGGGTCATTTCTTACCAAGAAGCTGAATTATAGGAAATATAGATGTAATGCATTTCCTCACAACCACATGCTTTCTTTTTTAAAGACCATAGAAGGTTTGTTCCACTTTTTTGTGATCTCACAAAGAGAAAACAGCTTTGGGTCCATCAACAGTCATCATATTTGGCATGGTTTCTATTTGTGTTGCATTGTCTCTTTGGCAGTGAGGCGTTGTGGATGTCTTGGTTTTCTCCCACAGGTCTGTGGCCAACGTGTAGTGCCTTTCCCTGGAAAGCATTAGTAATGTGGGGTGTGTCGTTCAGGCCTGTTCTGATGGCAAAAACCGAATCAGAGGATTGTGAAGCTGCAGACACGCTACACACACACGTACACCCATATCATTGTTGATGACCACTATACAGAAAAAGCCTTCAGCGGGGAAAGTTCAAAAGCCAAATAAGGAATGCTGCAGACCCGAGGCCATAGTGGAGAGGCACATTGGTCATGTTGTACCTTTATTTAGTCAGAGATGAGCATCTTATGTGCTGCATGATTGCATATATCCTCTACTTGTTTGTCTCCATTCAGATTGGGATTGCTAAATGACAACATTTCAACCTTTCAAAGGCTGTGTTTTTAAAGTAAAGAGCAGACCATATTTCCAGTCAACTGTCATGCAGATAGTGTTTGCGTGTTTGTGTGTCCTCGTCTGCATTTCTGTCTTTAAATCATTTGAATTTGGTGGTGTTGTCTGACACCCCAACTATTTAAAGGTCTTTAATCTTTATTTGTCAACATTTATCATCGCGAGGCTCCCAGTCCTTATAAAGAGAACGGTTAGCCTAAATAGGGTCTTCTTTGGGGGTGGTCTGGGCTTATTTACCAATTGACATTTGGTGAAAGGGTGTTAGCTGGAAAAAAAGCACCTCACACCAATGAGGTAGAAACCTCACGCCAAAACCCATCTCAGACATGTTTTGTTTGTGTGTAAAGAGGAACTCGTTTCACCACTCCCTGCTCAGACCACAACACTATCTGTCTGAGAGGTGGGAAGTGTGTTGCAGCCCGTAACCTTTTCTTTAAACCTTCTTATGGAAGTGAATGAATCAATTTGCCTATATCCTTCTCCATTGTTTTGGCAGCATAATAAACGTAATTGCATGTTGATATTTGGGAGCTGTTATTTTAGCATTACCATTAGAACAACAGCGGCTGATTACATTGCTTACCCTGTAATTACTTTAGGGCAGTGTTTCCCAAACTGTGGGGCGCAACCGTCTAGTGGGTCGCAGTGGCATTACAGGTGGGTCGCATGGGGAAATTCAGATTTTGTTTATTTTAATATCTATTTAAAGAACTTGCCATATTACGTGAATGTGAAATATACACGGACTGCTGTTGTGTCTCACAAAACAAAATACAGAGCCAGGCTCAACATTGGGAGTTAATTGAGAGTGGACATATCATATCATATAAGTCTGCAAGCTGCAGCCACGAATAATGATAAAACGTGTTTTAAAATATGAGATGGGTCATACGTATCTGCACAAATTTTGTTTTCTTTTGCACATTATTGTTGTTTTGAAGAGATATGGAGTGAAAAACTCTTCATTGCCAAATGTTTTTTATTTTGTTTTTCATAGGTTGCACTTGTTGTTATCTGTAAAAGATGTTCAGTGAAAAACAGATTAATTATAGCCAGAATAAACAGTTTTTTGAAACATTAAACACTGATTTGAGGCATTATGATTAATACGGTTTTCAATATTCTGCTTCAGAAATGTGCACACTGACAATTTTGACCAGTTTTGGTATCTGCCTAATTTCTACAGATGATGTTACAAACCTGCATGATACATGTACATTTAAATGGAATGTATCCATTTCTTATCAATTCTATAGATGGTCATATTTTTAAACAACGTCCTCCTTTACTTAAGCCAAAAAGCAAATCAGGAATTTTGCAAGTTCAAGTGGTGTTATGATGTGATCTGAGGCAAATAAAGTTGATCTCCTCTTGCGTCACTCTGTGAAGACTCAACTACAGTCTTTCATAATGACTCCACTTCTGAGAGTGAAGTGACTTCAATTTAAAGGCCTTGCTTTTCAGTCCACTTTGAACAGTAAAGTGGAAAGAAGGCAAGCGCAGAAAGGTTG